TTATTGTGGGATGAACGGATTTCATATGGCGACTTAGACTGCAAATTGAGCTCGACGATAATGTTAATATACGAGAGCAGTAGACGCATTGTTTCGGCGCGGTCTCCTCAAAATGCATCCAAAGAGGACTGTACTTTCATTTAGACGCCATTCTTTCTTTCACTTATTAAACACGCATTAAAACAAATAATAAAACTATCTTCAAACAAGTGCTTAAGTAATTCAAACACAAAAATTAATATGAAATATTACTAAACAATTACGAGCGACTAGCGATTTTACCAAAGTTGCGAATAAAAAATTAAGTAACTACTTGCGGGGAACTACCGGCTGGCCCATGAAAAATATAAATACAAATACCTATATTAAAATTCAGACTTACCATAGGTATAAAAATGTACCTAGCGGCCAGGGCATACGGTTCAAAATCACTAGGAATAATTCCGTGTCGCTTGCTCATTTATTTTGCGTCGATCGGTCTGTCTCGCTCGCTCGGTTCCGTTCGTGTATCAAGCAACATTACACGACAAAGAAAGAAACATGTTGGGTGATAGCTTCGCTAGAAGTAATAGTGTTCTGTGGGTGATAGTGTGATGTTTGTTTCCTTCGCGTAATGTGTGATGTTGCATTACATCGTAGAGTAATATTACCGGAGTAATATCACTCGCATTACTTACACATGTCTATAATATATATAAATCTACAGTGGTTTTTACGGATGTTCCGTTATAACTACTGAACCATGCATCCGATTGACTTGAAACTTGGTGTCCATGTAGAAAATATATGTACTTATGGATAGGCTAATATTTATATGAGTGTTGGACTCCCTAATAATAATGACAATAAATAATAATGTTAATTTTAAATGCCGAGCGAAGCGGACGGGTACAGCTAGTAGTTTTTTAATATTATTTTTGATAGTTTTCGTAAATTTTGTAAGTGTAGTAAATTTAATTATATATAGTAACATCTTATGATTTAGATTAATTAGATTAACTTAGTTTAATTCTCTAAATATCTTTTTTAATACAGTCAAAACCGTTTACTGCGACATCGTTTAATACAACATGCCGGTTATAATAACCAAGAACAAAAGTCCCGGCTGAATGCCATATGACCGCCTTATTAAAAATATTGCTTTCTACGACATTGGTAACAACGACATACCTCATAAAACGACCACATTTAACTAAGATGTCGGAGAATTAGATCTGTTAGAGCGACCGGCTAAGCTTTATTGTAAACAATTTGAATAGGTATCCACATTTGTCTTCAATGGCTTTTAAAATCAGGAAAGAAAACAATAGGATTTAGTTTAGTGTAGGGTCTTTTCTAATTCTTAGAAACAAAACACATGCATGCGGTAGTCAAAGCCCACTTCTTCATATATCTTCAGTTAGTTTGTTACTTATCTATACACAAGACGCACCAAAACTTTGTGGAGTTATTCGTGAAACTTTCAAAATCTCGCAAAGAAAAAGAAAACAAATTAATATTCAAGAAAACTTGCGTATTATGTAAATATATTTTTCCAATAATTCCCTATCGATTTATTTGTACTTGCACGATACACATTAAACATCACCGGTTGTTACGACTATCGGTTTTTACGACTGAATATGAGCAGTCCCTTCGATGTCGTTATAACAGATATTGACTGTATATTCATTTGATATGATAGGAGTTGGAAGATGCGAAAGTACAATCGTCGCTTAGCTCCGGGAACAAGAGTCACGGGGACAGCAGCAAGGCCAAGAAGAAGCGTGTCTTGCCCTACTGGTTCGAAAACGGTATGCTTGCTGTTTGTATGTATGTTGTGCTTATGTTAGTTACAAACTGAATTAGTATCGCAGAATTATAGAGACTCATATCGATTTTTTTTGGATTTCGACTTTTAATTCAAAAATGAATCTAGAACAACCCTTTTCAGCGACTCCTAATCTTCAAATGACCAAAATTAGCTTAAAAAGGGACAAAGCTATCCATCGGTCACCCCGTACACTTCTACGGCTTGAAATCTTTATTTGATATTTTCCAAAAAATACATTTTTTGGGCTGGGTCCCTACAATTCTAAGTTTCGATATATATTATATACACGAATATAGACGAACATTAAATCACAACTAAAAAAAGGAGAAACCCCATTTTGGGCCTAAGCGTTACACGAATGGGATATGTACCAAAAAATTCGTCTATTTTGCTTGATTAACCTATTGAAATCTTAGCTTCATTGACAATGGCCAAGTGTAGAAAATAAGTTGAATTCAATTTTTTGTTTTAAACAATCTTTGTAAACATCTGCAATACTTATTTCAATATACATACGTAGCTAGCTCCANTATCGTTTTTATTAAAATATCTCGAACAATAAACATAACCTCAAAATGTAAACATTGTCTGATTTTACCAATTTGGCCATTGCTGGGAGACCTGAAAATTGGGCTCAAGAAACCTTCTTAGGTATTGTAACTTATGCCCAAATTCTAGCACTGTAACGCCAGGCCCAAGTTTGTATGGATTTCGGGTTTGTCCTTTAAACCACGAGAATTAATTAGTGATGGTGGTATCATTCACGTTGTGATGGCCGGCCCTCACAGACACAGCCCACTGAGTTTCTCGCCGGATATTCTCAGTGGGTCGCGTTTCCAATCCGGTGGTAGATCCTGCGAAGCACTGCTCTTGCTGGGGCCAGTGATAACAACGCCTCCGGTTTGAGTCCCATGAGCTCACCTACACGCTAGGGTAATGCTGATATAGCCTCTCAAGGCTATCAGCATAGGTAGGAGAAAAAAAAGATGGCCGGTGTTTGTGCAGACGTAGGCAGCAACAACAGCGGCTACTACCGGCTGCAGGCCGTGCTCACGCACCGCGGCCGCTCGTCCTCCTCCGGGCACTACGTGGCGTGGGTGGCGCGCGGCGCGGGCTGGCTGCGCTGCGACGACGACACCGTCACCCCCGTCACCGAGGACGAGGTGCTCAAGCTCAGCGGGGGAGGTACTCACACACACACACACACACACACACAGAGAGTGAGAGAGAGATGGAGACAAAAGAGAGATAGAGAGTATTCTTTATTGGAAACGAATCACATGCGGTGTACCAATTAATTGAAATACACATACATATACATATGCAGACTTTTTATTTTATTTTTTATTGCTTATATGGGTGGACGGGCTCACAGCCCACCTGGTGTTAAGTGGTTAATGGAGCCCATAGACATCTACAACGTAAATGCGCCACCCACCTTGAGATATAAGTTTTAAGGTCTCAGTATAGTTACAATGGCTGCCCCACCCTTCAAACTGAAACGCATTAGTGCTTCACCGCAGAAATAAGCAGGGTGGGGATACTTAATGGATACGCTAATATTTATATGAGTGTTGGACTCCCTACACCAGTTGCGGGGGCATTAATGATGCGAATCTTTGTGAGGGTGAGAAATAATAATGTTAATTTTGAATGCCCAGCGAAGCGGACGGGTACAGCTGGTATATTTATAAATATACATACAAATACACAATGTAATGTCATAATAATCTATACACACTGGATTAATCGTTAATTGAAGTCGTCGTGACCTAAAATGCGTGGCGTGAACTCGTCCAACCATCTAAGAATAAGAAAAAAAACGATTTCTTGACGATCTTTCTAGACGATTTCTTGGGATGTTAAATCATACCTGAAAATTAGTTGAATAGTTATATGTACTACATTGAAATCATAGAACTTTGAGTTTTAAATATTCTTTTAGCATGAGCTCAAATTTCGTATAATGTTACAAAGGACCATGCCCAAAAGTGGGCCAACTTTGTGTCAAAACTATTTGTACTTGAACAACTATGCCTTATTTTTTCACGTTGTTTAGTTTTTTTTTTATTGCCCTTGTAGGCAGACGAGCATACGGCCCACCTGACGGTGAGTGGTTACCGTCGCCCATGGACTTCAGCAATGCCAGGGGCAGAGCCAAGCCGCTGCCTACCGCTTAATACTCTCCACAAGCCTCGTTTGAAGGACATGTCATAGCGTTTATGTATTGACATTTCTTTCACCCTGGCATTGTTTTACAAAAAATAAATTTATTATTTGATAACATCCGAAAACTGAGTACTTCCATTATTCATATTCGTTTTTAAATTCGCCAATAGGCAGACAAATTCGAAGAAAACAATTTTAACAACTTAATTTTAGCTGCAGAAAAAACAGATTTCTCTTAAACCTGGGTGAGAATATAAAAATCGTTTTCTGAATGTGAAACGATATTTCTTTGTCTATCAAATTAAGTTAAAATCATCATGACACGACAACTTTTTTCGGGGGCCCAAACGCCCAAAGAAAATGGGCATTGTCCATTGCTCAAAGAGTACTAACTTAAAAAATATTTTTTAACAGGTGACTGGCACTGCGCCTACCTTCTGCTGTACGGACCTAAAATCCTGGAGCTCCCCGAGCAGGATGAGGACGAGCCCATGGTCACCGACATAACAGACGATCCTGCTGGCGAACCCCCCACAGCGCTCGCATAAATAAAAACAAAAAAATATTCATATTTTGGACATAGTTCAGCTGGAAGAAAGGACTCAGTGATTGAATCCTGTACACCTCAATAACTTAGTTCTTGTGTTTGTGTTTGGAACATTCAGAAAAACATTTGCTTGGATTTAATTCATTGTTCTAACCGTTCTTCACGATCATTCTAGAACTAGACTCATTTTTATAGAAACGTAAACTGAGTCCTTTCTGCTAAAGGATGTCCATTTATAAGGCTGATTGTAACGCTTACCTTTCGGTGTCCCGCTAAATATCTTTTTATTGGCAATAATTTTTTGCTCTGGTCACCCCGGTGTCCAGAATAAGTAGACCGAATAATATATTAAAATGTTTTATGTCGTAATATTGTATAGTACTGGAAGAAATTTGTTTTAATTTAATAATTTGAGTGATACCAAATTTTTAGATTATAATTTTAGAATAATACAGCTTTGGGTTGCAATGTTTAAAGTTTTGTTACCATACTTGAGGAATTCTATAAAATCTATGTCAGTTCCAAATGATAGACAAATAGATTTGGTATCCCGTGGCCAGTAAGTTTGAGACAGTGATCTAAAAATTGTACTTACGATTTTTAGAGATACGAAGCGATAATCTAGTTTAATATTCACTCTATTTGGCCTAAAACCTTAACCACTCGAGCCAGGAGGAAACAAATGAAAACACAACCCCTTTGCCTCATCGTAATCGAGATATAACAAAAAAAAAAAATCCATTCGTTATATAATTTAATATGTATTAGTAATATCCTAAACAATAACGCGGGACATATATTTATTTAAAACAAAAAATGTATATTGGCATATAATGCTATCTACAACTAACTGTCTTTTATATATCTTACAAAATGTCATCATACGATTTTCATGCATTAACTTTCATTAAACTAAATGTATTTTAGTTGAAATAGATGATTAATTTGTAATACAACATTTGAGTATACATTTATACGTTGTTTTATTTGCGTGTCCTCGACCTTCCTGCGTCTGGTTTGAAATAGACAGTAGCATAGATTATACACTTAATATAGTGTTATCGATGGCCCCGAAAAATAGGCGAATTAATAATTTTTATTATGGTGTTTGACACATGAACATTTTTTTCTGGGCGGTTAATCTGTATTATTATTTTATTTATTTATTATTTATATTTATCGGTAAACGTGTCAGCAAATACAAATATGAGACCTTTTTACGACAGCTCTTTAATTGATATCTCCAACAATTTGTGTCCGACTTTAAAATACGGCATCTTTTCCCGATTTGTTTTGTTTCACCACCAAAACGAATGAACAAGAAGCCTCATGTTTGCTTTTTTCAAAACAATTTACAAATGATTAAGTTTTACACATAATTATCGTCTTCGTCGTAACTCATTTGGTAAGAGATTAAATAGTAAAGGTAATTGAAGTAAAACCTCTACATGCAAAAAAAAAAAAAAAATTGGAAACCTTCACAGTAAATTCGAAGGCTACTTACTCTATGTTGTAGAAAATTATATAACCTAAAAATAAAATGACTTTATTGGGATTTATTAAAGCGTGTTCAGATAAAATCTTCCAATATTGTCCATTTCTTCAAAAAGTTATATTTTCAAAACCAAATGAGTATGAAATATTGAAACACATTTTAAGTTTCTTTTCCGGATTTGTTGTAGGACAAGTCTATTATGTATATTTATTGAAAAATTGTTTCTTTAATGAAATATTAGGTTTGGCGTTCGCTTTGATGTTAAGCACAGTCATAGGTAAGTTTCAAAACGATTACTCTAAGATTAAAATAGTAGTCTCACGAAAATTAAAAAATAATGAACTTTAAACCATTTTATAAATACGTAATAAGGCTTAATATATTTTAATCTCACGGTTCATATTTTCATTTAATTTTGTATTGAGAGTGGTGGATGCATTCTAAGATTTTCTATAGAAAGCGATTTCTATTATTTCAAAATTATATACATACTGGTTGTTAGGCGGTATCAGCGCCGCACCCCCGCCGCATGCCGCGCCGGTGAAACCGAAGAAACGCCGCGCCCGGACGTTCATTGATCCGAGCATCAACTGTTTTTAATTTTGTGTTTCATTGCTGGTTTTTTTTAGTAAAGTAATTTATTTTTTATGAAACTATCGTTCCATTTAGCTGTACTAACATGATGGAGCGTAAATAATGCTAATAATAACACGTTTTACAAAATATTTTTTTTTTTAAATCACGTTCGTTTTTTTTTCCGGTACCATCATCAATGGTGTCATTTGGACTATCGTCTGTTTCTTACAACACCGTGAAGTAATCTCTATAATATTTCAGGAATATGTTGCGCTACTTCTTGTCAAGTAAGATGCATATTGTTACTCTGCGTGCCGATGTACTGCGGTAAAGTCGGCCGTGGAGTACTTAAAGCTATAATATTGACTTATATTGTTGCCGGTAATTTTATTTTTCTTGTTAATACTAAAAACATTCGATGATAAAACATGGCCGCCATTCGCCATAGTTATTCTATTTGCTGGTCCCAAAACAATATAAAGTTTGTGTTTATTTTGGGAATATACGACAAAGGGAAGATCTTCCACTGAGCGGGTGATATTTGCTCGGTAGACCGACGGTCCGAATGTTGTTGTTTGGAACTTGTATATATGCGCTTTATCTTGAAAATGTCGTAAGCGAGATTCAGGCATCTGTCAATTATCTTGCGTTGTATGATGGCTACCCGCCACATCACTCCCCTCCGAGACTGGAGGTCGTGTCATTTTTAGTTAACGTTGTCCGTGCTGAGATTAGCTTGCAAGGGCCAGTGCTGCTCGAAGCCTGCGGTGAGTCGAGGCTGAGCTTGAATGCTGCGTGCCTGTTGCCAGTGCTGCTCGAAGTTTGCAGTGAGTCGAAACTGAGCTGAATGCTGCGTGATTGTCGCCAGTGCTGCTCGAAGTCTGCGGTGAGTCGAGACTGAGCTTGAATGTTGCGTGCGTGTCGTGCGTAGTCCATGTGATGCAGAGCTGCCACGCCGGAGATGTGTGACCCCAAGCGTTGATGATCCGGTCGTGGGCTGCGATGAACTGTAGCGGCGTGATGAGACAGTGAAGTTGCGTGCCGTAGGACCAGGAAGCGCGGTGAGTCGGCTGCGATGGTCCTGTTGAGGCTGCGATGCTGGCTTGCTGTGGGACGACTGTCAATGACGTGCTTTGATCTGCGAGAATGCGGGGATTGTGGTAGCCGAAGTTCATGATGCGCTGATGATGAATCAGAAGGTTGCGTGTTCACATCACGTCGGAGGTCACCAGTTTGGGAATATACGACAAAGGGAAGATCTTCCACCGAGCGGGTGATATTTGCTCGGTAGACCGACGGTCCGAATGTTGTTGTTTGGAACTTGTATATATGCGCTTTATCTTGAAAATGTCGTAAGCGAGATTCAGGCATCTGTCAATTATCTTGCGTTGTATGATGGCTACCCGCCACATTTATCATCACCATCAGTCTACAAACGTACGCTGCTGCTGCCTCTCCCACGGTTCGCCATAATGTCCGGTCCTGGGTAGCCTGTATCCGGAAGTTTCCACGGAGTCCACCTCGTAGAAGGTCTACCAAAACGGCGCTTTCCGGTGCGCGGTTGCCACACGAAAATTTATTCTACAAACAATGTGTAATTAATTGTAATCCAGTTGGTTTTTTTTGGGTTTTAAAAGCTTGGGTTTTTTTTAATCTCCTCATTCCTGAAATGATTTCGCAGGAAAACTCCGAGCATAGAACCCTTTCAATTGCTCTTTGAATGACTTTGAACATTCTGATAAGTTTGAGCATATGAACGTCAACAATCCAAGTCTTATAATATTATGAGAATAACAGGGATAAAAAATAAGTGAAGTCGTCGTGGCCTAAAGGATAAGACGTCCGGTGTATTCATGTTGACCGATGCACCGGTGTTCGAATCTCAGTCGGGTACCAATTTTTCTAATGAAATACGTACTCAACAAATGTTCACGATTGACTTCCACGATGAAGGAATAAATAACATCATGTAATAAAAATCAGACCCGCAAAATTATAATTGGCATAATTACTGGTGTTACGACCTCTTGTGAGTCCGCGCGGGTAGGTACCACCACCTTACCTATTTCTGCCGTGAAGCGGTAATGCGTTTCGGTTTGAAGGGTGGAGCAGCCGTTGTAACTATACTTGAGACCTTAGAACTTATATCTTAAGGTGGGTGGCGCATTTAAGTTGCAGATAAAAACAAAACAAAAAAAAGTAAAGATTAAATCTTTTTGAATGAAACAGGTCCGATCACTAACATGGGATTGAATGCTAAAGAGGTTGTAAGAGTGTTCGGTTGCAGCAATGAATTAGCGTACAATCTATCTACATATAAATACACGTTGTTAATGAACGTAATCAGAAAAACTGCATTGGATATGAACATTGAAGTGGATCGAGTCAAAGATAGTTTTAGGTGGTTAAGTTAATTGGTATTGTCTATCCAAGGGCGGATCCAGCTTTGGCGCCAGGAGGGGGTCATATAGTCAAATTTAGATGCGTTCGTTCCCAGTCGTTTGCCATTATACAAAGTTATTATATTATATGAAATTAATTAAATATTGAAGGAATGTAGTTACATAAAATCTGTATGGTGACAAAATATATAAATAAAATCATTATATTCAATTAATGGTCCACCTAAATCCTGGAACCAGCTCAGGGGGTGGTCATGACCCCCATGACGCCCCCCCCTGGGTCCGCCATTGTGTCTATCAGTAGAAAGGATTTAATGTTTTTTTATAGTATTTTTTTTAAAAAGATCTCGAAAATTTGGTGTAATTACTGTTGGTAGGGCCCGTAAATCTATATATACATATATAGTCTCGCTAAAACTGGAGAACGGCTGGACCGATTTGGCTAATTTTGGTCTTGCATTATTCGTGGAAGTCCAGAGGCTTAAAAGGTGAAAAAATATGAAAATGCTCGGAATTATATAAAAATAATAATTTTGTTTTTTCTTTGTCCCCCGTTTTATTCCCGTGTCCCCCGTCGGACGAATTCCTTTTGTTTTTTTTAAGTTTATTTTATACAAAAGTTTAGGTATTTTATTTATCGATTGAGGCACTACGAAGTCTGCCGGGTCAGCTAGTACCTATATAAAAGAGTGGCTTTTGTTTGTTTTCACAAACGAAGACTGCTATATTGTCTGGAGTGGGATTTAGGTTGCGTGAATTACGATAACAGAGTACACGGCCAAGACGCTCTCGGTAGAGGCACAATGGCTCACGTTCTTCCTAGTTCCTGCTCAGTATTTTTATTTCATTTCTTCATAAGATGACGCCGCGTAATTTTGTTAGGTATTTCAAGAAATACAAGGTTTGCTTAAATCACCTTTAATTGTGAGGGACCCAAATATATTTTAACTGCTTTAAAGATTGCTTGTGGTGACCTCATGGTTAATAATGAAAAATTACAACCGAAACTTTTACGTTAACTAGAATGAAACTTACATAAGTGACCTCCCGGCTGGGTACGAGCTCAGTCACCTATGCTAGTGAAACTGGAAAGGCCGCGGGGTCAACAATAATGCTTCCATTAAAAAAAGCGCGCGAAAAAAACACGGGTAGTAGTGAAGTAGTTTCGGTACTAAATAAAGAAATTGTAAAAATAGTTTATTGTATTGTAGGTACTTCAAAGTTGTCGCCAGACCTATAGAAAAGGAATTGGTGATTTCAAAAGAATTAGATATTGAGGAATACGATTATTTGGACTATATGTACGATCTCACTTCTAAGCCTGCTGATGGCTTTGTTCATGAGAACGGGAAGTTAGTAACTTTTTTTTATGCAATCTGAAATCAGCCAAAGTTAAGTATAAACAGATGTGCTTTGAAATATGGCAGCTTCAGTGTCTCCTTCTGGGCGGTTGGCTGGTTTTTCGGTATACCAAACAATATTTTTTTCAACCATATAAAACAATTGTCAGATGTTAAATCATTGACATCATGATTGACCTCGGAGCTTAATTAAGTGGTCCGTTATCTATAATCTATCCGTAATCTATAATCGTCTTTATTGCTCTGCCTGGAATAAATGTATATTTTTTTGTTATCGCTACATGTTCACTGGTAGCCTAAGGGGTTATTCCAGCTTCTCGCAGACGAGTAGATGAACTCATGTGCTCAACCTGAGAGACACTAACTCTAGCAAAAGCAGTGCTTCGCAGAATTTACCGTTGGATCGGGATCGCGACCCACTGAGAAGATCCATTAGATCTTTCGGTTTTGCCATGCTATATCCGAAATTGGTTGGTTACGAAATAAAGTTCCCTTGATGGTGGTTCACGACTTCTACGACGAAATAGGCGGGTTTTAGTTCAGGCGAGATAGGTCGCGATTTGGACATGCTTTGAATCATACCTCGATGATATTCTTCATGGTTGCGAGGCTGTAAGTTCGCTAGACTTCCTTTGACTGTAAAATATCAAACCATCATCATAGATAACGGTAATTAAATTTGCAGAGCATGTTTCCAAAGCGGACATTTACTTATAAAGAACTACACCGATAAATTGTCACAAAGATGTGATAAAATGATCGATCGTGCAATCAGAATGTGCAACCAAACTTTTACGTCTGTCTACCGAGATTGCTTGAAGTTTCTCTTTATTAATAAATCGTATTATTCTTTTTGTCGGCGATTAAGACCCACGGAAATTTGTGACTTTGGAACTTTTAAAAAGAGTACATGTTTCAACCAAACGCAGGTAATTCAGGTACCTAATCCGTTTTGCGAATGCAGAAATTAGTAAAATAAAAAAGATTATGTAGTTTGAAAATTAAAAAAAAGACGCTTGAATAACACATCAAACTAATAACTAATTTCACAATTTTTTATCCTGTTGATAATGGTCAGGATATTAGAGCGAAATCGTAATTTTTTCTGTTATAATCGTCCTTAATGCGGGTGCAAATCAAGTTACATCGGACGTCTTGGAGTTATTGAAAATTATACCTACATACTAAGCTAATGAAAGCGTATTAAGCGCCTCTATTAAAACTTTTTCGTCGTTCGTTGTAAGCTTCTAAGCCACAAGAATAAACCAAAAAGCCCCGGCAAGCACGAGACGATCGCATACTGTACCAAAAAAGAAAATATCGACGAATAATGTCCTATTTCTGCTGTTGGATTATGTCAGTAAGGATTGACTGCCCGGTCAGCGTCCTCGCCGAACCCGTCGTTTGCGACGAAGGGCTCGACGAGTAAATTAATAGATAGACCTAATCGGTGATAGCCCTTTTTCTTTTCCTATCTAAGCTGATAGTCTTGAGAGACCATTTCAGCGTAACCGGGCAAGTAGCTGAGCTCACGGGGATTAAACCTGACGTTGTTGCTAACACGAACCCTAGCAAGAGCCGTGCTTCGCAGAATCTACCACCGGATCGAAAACGCGACCCATTGAGAAGATACGGCGAGAAACTCACTGGGCTGTGTCTGAGGGTTAATTTACTTGCCGAGCCCTTTGTTGCAAGCGACGGGTTCGACGAGAACGGTGACCGGTGCTTGGGGTACCTAAAAGCACCGTTAGTGGATCGGGAGGATCCGAAATGACGTGATTGATAGCCCAGGAGTCTAGTCCAACTACGCGCGCCTTATTTGGATCCTCATTCATTCATTTGAGGACTCACTCACTTCACACTCACTCATAAACGGCCGTCTGGTGTAGTGGTAAGTGACATGGTCACTACACAAGGGGGTTGCGGGTTCGAATCCCGCCAAGGCAAGGTATTTGTATGATAAATATAAATGTCTTTTCCAGGGTTATGGATGTATATTAAATATATGTGTGTGTATAATAAAAATCTTACATTTATTTCCGTTATCTGGTACCTGTAACACAAGTTCTTTAGGAACTTAGCACGGGACCAGTTAACGTGGCGTGATTGTTAGTAAATATTTATTTATTTATTTATTTTTACATTATTTAGTCGCTTAAAAGTTTCTAGAATGTATCATCAACACATGGCTTAAATATAGTTTCAATAAACGCGTTTTTCTCATGTCATATTTCGTGTTAGCTCCGAAACCTAGATTACGCTATTTACTGATAAACCGTAATATGTCTCAAGGTTAACAAAGGTCTAGGAATAGGCTACGAAACAATGAAACTAATTGAATATGAATTCACGAAGAAGTTAAGGAGAGTCAAATTGCAATGCGAGCCAAGAACTGGTCAAGACAATTTCTTTATTAAGGTAGGTAAGTACATGTAGTAGCTAAAGTTTGCAAATTGGTGGCAGGACGTTTTATCGTCGTGGCCTAAAGGATAAGACGTCGTGCATTCGTATGAAGCGATGCACCGGTGTTCGAATCCCGCAGGCGGGTACCAATTTTTCTAATGAAATACGTACTCAACATTTTCACGATAGACTTCCACGGTGAAGGAATAACATCGTGTAATAAAAATCAAACCCGCAAAATTATAATTTGCGTAATCACTGGTGGTAGGACCTCTTGGGAGTCCGCACGGGTAGGTACCACCACCCCGCCTATTTCCGCCGTGAAGCAGTAATGCGTTTCGGTTCGAAGGGTGGGGTAGCCGTCGTAACTATACTGAGACCTTAGAACTTATATCTCGAGGTGGGTGGCGCATTTACGTTGTAGATGCTATGGGCTCCAGTAACCACTTAACATCAGGTGGGCTGTGAGCTCGTCCATCCATATAAGCAATAAAAAAATAAAAAAAGGACGTATGGTGAGTCTACAGGATTAGGTAATGCCTTCCTTCCTATATCTGCCGCGAAATAGTTCTGCGATCCGGCTTGGAAGGACGAACATACTTTATGCAAAACAATAGAGACTTTTTCTAGCTCGGTTGTAGCTTTAATCTGTAGGTCGTCGTGGTCTAAAGGATAAGACGTCCGGTGCATTCGTATATAGCGATGCACCGGTGTTCGAATCCCGCAGGCGGGTACCAATTTTTCTAATGAAATACGTACTTAACAAATGTTCACGATTGACTTCCACGGTGAAGGAATAACACACCACGATCTTAGAACTTATATCTCAAGATGGGTGGCGTATTGTAAATGTCTATGGGCTCCAGTAACCACTTAACACCAGGTGGGCTGTGAGATCGTCCACCCATCTAAGCAATAAATAAAAAAAACCATCTATTGGCTTTAATAATCGCTTTAAATCGACTGACCCGTGAGCTCGTTCTACCTGTCTACTCGTCTAGTAGAATAAAAAAACTATCTACCCTCATTTATTCTTAGCTTTGATTTAAGGCTGTTGAATTTATTTTATGAATATACTTAAATGTAATTAAATTTCACCCAAATCGGTTATTCAGCATAACATTTAGTTAATAATTTTATTCTTAATCTAGCGGTAGGCAGCGGCTTGGCTCTGCCCCTGGCATTGCTGAAGTCCATGGGCGACGGTAACCACTCACCATCAGGTGGGCCGTATGCTCGTCTGCCTACAAGGGTAATAAAAATAAAAATAAAACGTGTGGCACTCGGGAACTGCCGCGGTAAAGCTATTGCATAGCATTTTTTATCAACGCAATTATAATTAGACAATGATAATTTAATATTAAAACAATAAAAAAACAAGACCACGCTATATTAAACATTAATAAGAGGCAAAACATTAACTGTCCCCTTTACACTCATAAGCTAGACTTTTTTCGTTACGGAATTTCATGATTCGGTCGCCGCGCTCATGGCCCGCGATAAACGCTATGCAATAGCTTAAAAAATATATTAAGCTAGTCCGATAATAATCCTGGAAGGTGCGTGACGGCATACTTTAATGGCCTCTATAAAGCTCGTTGAGTTTGGACACATCCTTTGTCATCTCAAGAATGGTTTTTTGAAACGTTACACAAAATTATTCGCCCAAAGAGATTATTTTTGGGCAACCATTCGACTCTGGGTTGAATCATCCTCCACCCACCTAGATGTTCAAACAGCAATGTGGCTCCTTAAGCATTTTTTTCCCAACCTTGTAGCCTAAGGGCCTGGCCACAGCTACTGGCGGTGCGTTTTGCGGTGCGTTGCGAGGCGCGGCGGGCGGTGTGACTTGCGGGGGTATGCCACAGCTAGACTAGTTGCGACGGCGGTGGCGTCAGAGGTGCACGTATTTAGAAAGCCCTATCAAATTTCCCTTTCAAAAGTGACACGATATTACCTTGAAATAAGTGCGTTCTTAGCTGAAGATATTATTCAATTAAGAATAGGCACCCAGTTAGAAAAAGAGAGGACTTGGCGAATTTCACCCTATTTATTAGGTATTCTATTAGGAATATTAGGAATATAAGAACTATCCCGATAAATAGATTATTAATAGATTCAACCTTGAAATCTCAATTTACTATACGTGTTAATTGTTGATAAAGCCTATCCTCTTAAAATTTATTTGATGCGCCCATATATATCCACCGGGTAGTTTAAATGCGGAACAAATAATTTTCGACAGAATATTATCCCGGGCAAGTGTCACAATTCAGTACGCGTTTGGTATTCTAACTATTAAATTTCGTATTTTTACGAAAAATGTAAAGGCAAACAAAAAGCACGCGATATTGATTATAAAGGTTTCGTGCCTTAAAAGAAAGTGATGGAGACAGAGATGCAGATTTTCAGCAGTTTGTTTCCCAGTTTGGAGACTCCAATATTCACAATAGCGTACGCAGATCAAGACGGAACAATCGAGCAACGGTTCAAGCATCTAGAATACGAAATCAATTCAAATTTAGAATTTTATTTCAATAATCCTATCCAAGAGTATCTAGGAAACCATTAGTACCAGAAAATTGTTGTTTTATTTCGTCCCACATTTTTTTTATAACATGCCTATATTTATGATGGATGTTTTAACATCCATATTTCTGGTCTACTCAGTATTTCACTAATGAATTGTTCCACATCCATTATATTTTATTAGCTCAACGCGCGGTAAAAACAAAATGATTTGTTTCGGTCGCGCGATGCCTCAATGCGTCCACCGACACCGCCGCACGCGCCGCTCTGAACTGTGGCCACCTCCATATTGTCTAGTACATTTGTTTCACTCGCACATCGTGCAGCTCGTCGCCGCCAGATGTCACGCGCCTCTCACCGCTCCTCGCAACGCACCGCAAAACGCACCGCCAGTAGCTGTGGCATATTTCATAGGTTGTCTACCATTTGTTTTCGCCGCTCCCGCTTGCCGCGCCTCACGACGCACCGCAATTCGCACCGCTCTCGGCTGTGGCCAAGGGGTAAGGGGCTATCACAGCTACGCGCGGTCGGGTAGGTCGGCTCACTGCCTCAACCTGAGAGAATTTGCTAACACCAGCCCTAGCAAGAGCGTAGAGCGTTAAGCAAAGCTTAGAAAGACTCCTTAGCTGTCAGCAGAGGTTGACACTGACATTGACCTATGTCTATGAGCACTGGAGACCTCTCGAGATTGCGTGGGCTATTAACTCGTCTATTATAATGGCAATAAAGAGAAAAACCTTTTGTTCCTATAATAGTTTAATTAAATTACTGGTGGTCAGAGCTCTTGTGAGTCCACGCGGGTAGGTACCACCACCCTGCCTATTTCTGCCGTGAAGCAGTAATGCGTTTCGGTTTGGAGGGTGGGGCAGCCGTTGTAACTCTAACTATACTTGAGACCTTAGAACTTATATCTCGAGGTGGGTGGTGCATTTACGTCGTAGATGTCTATGGGCTCCAGTAACCACTTAACACCAGGTGGGCCCCATCTAAGCTATAAAAAAATAAAAAATAAATTTACAAAACTATGCATTCAGGATGCGAGAAAAACCAACGAGAACATAGGAATTTCTTTTGAAGAGAAAACCTCAATTATGAGGCTCGTAGTTACGATGATGAACGTTTGCCTGGCGCTGCTTTTCCTCCGAATATTCCTGGCTGCCGTTACTTACCACGACTTGTACTTGACCAATATTAACCATGATAATGTCTACATTACCGGTTACTTTAAAATGATCGATGAAAGACGTAGGATTAGCAATAAGATGCACCTTTTGCCGCTGAAGAAGGTGAGTGCATATGATTTACCATAATGACATTTGACTGACTCGGTGATGCTGCAGCTAGCGTCCCTGACTGTCACACCGAGGGTCGTGGGATGGGATGGGACGGGATTCCTACATCGGGCAAATATTCGTGGGATGAACAGGTTTGTATGCTCTTTATCTGGTGTCTGGGTGTGTATGTGGTGGATTCTACACACTGGATTCTACTGTTTCATTATATTATTATATATTCACTTCCCTCACACACATTACTTGACATAGCATAAATTACAAGGCAATTGTGTGTCATTAGTATGTTATCTATACTAATATTTAAATATACAGGGTTTTTTACGGATGTTCCGTTATAACTACTGAACCATGCATCCGATTGACTTGAAACTTGGTATCCATTAAGTACATGTTGTACATACATTAAGTACATACGAGTGTTGGGCTCCCTAATAATAATGACAATAAATAATAATGTTAATTTTATATGCCCAGCGAAGCGAGCGAATACGGCTAGTTATATTTATATATTTATAGATAACATATTTAAACGTATATGTTTGTCAGTCAGTTTGATAAACAACCCCAGAGCCCGAAAAAACAAGATCCATTGAGACCTTGAAGAGTTTTCCTCAGATGGAACGAAGAAAATACATTGACATCCACTCAGCAGCGCTGATGACTGAGAGGAGCAAACTAGTCACTCAAGTCCTGAAGCTGGCCTTAGAGATGATAACAGCAACGACCTTCGTGATGATGGACCGGATGTTCTACGAGGCTTTGGACATGGTGCGGCGCTACGCTGACCTGGAACCGAGGCAGGGGCTGCGAGACTTGGAGATAAAAGTACGGCTTGGAGAGTATGGTTCGATAATTATCTGAGCCCAAAAATTTAATAGACGAAAGGTTTAATTTCAGACAGAACGAACTAATAATGATTTGAGGTCTAACAGTTTGAATCAAAATAGTGTTATTTTTTTCGCTACCTAAAGAGTGACAGCTTAAGGGATTATTCCAGCGTTTCGCGGACGAGTAGGTGAGCTCACGGGCTGAACCTAAGAGAATTTCCAAAGACTAGCCTTTTTTGCCCTAGCGAGATCATTGCTTCGCAGAATCTACCGTAGGATCGGAATCGCGATCCATTGAAAGATCAACTGAAAGATCGCGATCCACTATACTATTAGTTCGTTCTCTGTGCAATGAAACGACAAAATTCTAGAAACCTAGTAGTTGACCCAATGTTCAAATGACGACGAATAACACTTAAGTCGTCCGTGACCACGAAAAGCCTCGTGGTAAGTTGTTATTTTAGTAATTAATGACGTAAGAGCGTGTTGTGAGCACATACAGATGGGCACCATGGACTTGTTTATTTCTACCAAGAAGCCATAACGTATTTCGGTTTAAATGATAAGCCAGCCGTTATACAACTGAGATTTATATCTAGTGTTTAATGGGCTTCAAATATCCCTTAACGCCACGTATAATCGAGCTTTTCATCCATCCAACCATTAAAAAAAACGATGAATTTTGTCATCATAACCAGAACCTTTCACTTTCATGTCTAGGTTGATGGCGTTGGACCAATTTCAGCCATTCTAAGAAAGTTCTTCGAGAGCTTCGATGTTAGTCCGATCAGTTCTTTTACTGTGGTCACTAAGGAGTGCGTCCCGCAGCCCTGTGCCATGCCCGCCCAATATTTATTTAAGATATACGGGGGATATTTATGGATATTACTGCTCTTGTATCTAAGCCCATATACGCTCCGGTTAAGAAGGTGGGTGTTTCGGCTGCGTGAACTCTCTGAGGACTGGTACCGAGGTTCACTTCACTTCACTTCACTTCTTCACTTCACTTTACTCCACCTCACTTCACTTCACTTCACTTTACTTCTTCACTTCACTTTACTTCACTTTTTCACTTCACTTTACTTCTTCACTTCGCTTTACTTCACTTTTTCACTTCACTTTACTTCACTTCACTCCACTTCACTTCACTTCACTTCTTCACTTCAATTCACTTCACTTCAGTTCTTTTGATAATCTCGAAAGACTTCTACTCGAAGGGCTTTTACCACACTCGACTACCGGCTACGCTGCTCCACTCTGCCTATTTGCCGTGAAGCAGTAGTGCGTTTCGGTTTAAAAGGTGGGGTAGCCGTTGTACTGTACAAACTGAGACCTAAGAACTCATATCTCAAAGTAGGTGGCGGCATTTACGTTGTAAACTTAACACCAGGTTTACAATACAATACAATACAATACATACTTAACAAATGTTTACGATTGACCTCCACGGTGAAGGAATAACATCGTGTAAAAAAATCAAACCCGCAAAATTATAATTGGCGTAATCACTGGTGGTAGGACCTCTTGTGAGTCCGCATGGGTAGGTACCACCACCCTGCCTATTTCTGCTGTAGAGCAGTATTGCGTTTCGGTTTGAAGGGCGGGGCAGCCGTTGTAACTATACAGAGACCTTAGAACTTATATCTCAAAGTGAGTGGCGCATTTACGATGTAGATGTCTATGGGCTCCAGTAACCACTTAACACCAGGTGGGCTGTGAGCTCGTCCACCCATCTAAGCAATAAAAAAAAGTTTGCGGACGCTTACTTATGCGAATTTTTCTTAGATTAATCTGCGCGTATTTTTATCCTTGTCGCGAGAAACAGAGAGTGCTTTACTTATACAATGATATACTGAAGAAACGGATGAAAATACAGAAGACTTTACAAAGGTACTTAACATATGCGAGTGCATTCTTCAATATTCTTAACATTTTTTTCTACTTTCTTTTATCTTTATTTCTGTCAATACGGATTATTAAGGGTAACTCAAAAGCTAATGACCTCAATCTTGATAAAATTTAAATGACACAGTAAAACGCTTGCAAATAAATAATGAAATCATCAAAATCGGCTCGTATAGAATAAAGCTCTAAACACACGTAAAACAAGTGAGTCGTCGTGGCCTAAAGGATAAGACGTCCGGTGCATTCGTATTGAAGCGATGCACCGGTGTTCGAATCCCGCAGGCGGGTACCAATTTTTCTAATGAAATACGTAGTCAACAAATGTTCACGATTGACTTCCACAGTGAAGGAATAACATCGTGTAATAAAAATCTAACCCGCAAAATTATAATTTGCGTAATTACCGGTGGTAGGACCTCTTGAGAGTCCGCGCGGGAAGGTACCACCACCCTGTTTATTTCTGCCGTGAAGCAGTAATGCGTTTCGATTTGAAGGGTGGGGCAGCCGTTGTAACTATACCTGTGACCTTAGAACTTATGTTTCAAGGCGGATGGCGCATTTACGTTGTAGATGTCTATGGGTTCCAGTAACCACTTAACGCCAGGTGGGCTGTGAGCTCGTCCAACCATCTAAGCAATAAATAAAAACAAACAGACGAATCAAGAAACTCCGCCATTTTCCAAGTCTGTTAACAACATACCATTCCAGGACTGCAGTTCAGGCGGTCAGAACCCATTACCTCTCGAGCGAGAATCTGCTGAGCATGCGAATGAAATTCCCTGAACTGTTGGGCTGGCTCCAGGTCTTACCGGCTGCCAGGATGACCTGTCTGATATGTGGCGAAACCGAGCCCAGGAGAGGTAATTTCTCTTTTTTTTAAACTAGATGATGAGCTTTGCTCGGATTTTTTTTTTGATAACGCCATCTTGTTGTGTCTTTAAAGCGGTTAGTTGCCCTCAATTAAGAAAAATAGTATTATTATTCGCCCATAGATGTCGGGAAGAGTTGGTTATTGAAAACACGAATAAAACATTTTCTGAAAATAAATCGTAACTAGATCGATTTATCGCCCCCGAAATCCCCTGTATACTAAATTTTATGAAAATCGTTGGAGCCGTTTCCGAGATTCAGATTATATATATACAAGAATTGCTCGTTTAAAGGTATAAGATAAATTGAGAGCTCATAAGTGATCACGAGAACCTATGGACATCAGCAATGTATATACCGCCATCCAATTCAGGACGCGCTACCACCACTAATTACGCAAATTAAAATTTTTTACTACCTAATATTCATCGCGGAAGCCTCACGCGAACATATCGCACCTTTAGAATTGAAGTGGCTTAAACTAAAAATTTTAAGAAAATTAGTTTTATACTTTGAGCTACTTTTAAACATGTATTCTATCAATATCTATACTAATATATAAATCTACACTGGTTTTTACGGATGTTCCGTTATAACTACTGAACCATGCATTCGATTGACTTGAATCTTGGTATCCATGTAGAAAATACATGTACTTAATGGATAGTCTAATATTTATATGAGTGTTGAACTCCCTACGCCAGTTTTGGGGGCGTTAATGATGAGAATCTTTGGGGGGTGAGAAATAATAATGTTAATTTTAAATGCCCAGCGAAGCGGACGGGTACAGTTAGCTTATAAAATTGAACAATCTCTTTTAGTCTAGAAAAGGACAAACGTACTCCATCCGTCTCTTTGAAATCAAACGCATACCTTAAAGTATTAAAATCGATAAACCAAAAAATTGCAATTCTTCAATTAGGTACATCTATGGCGTTTAACAATAAATAAGAATTTTGGATTAAACCACTTAAATTCTAAAGGTGCGATGTGTCAAATGTGTATTTCATTAGAATAATTAGTACCGGCTTGCGGGATTCGAACACCGGCATTGTCGCATCGCTCCATACGAATGTACCGGGCGCCTTATCCTTTAGGCTACGGGTACTTCAATAGTGCGCTGCTCCCGCTACCCATAATACCTTAACTTATTCATAATGTCAACTAGTGGTAGGACCTCTTGTGAGTCCGCACGGGTAGGTACCACCACACCGCCTATTTCTGCCGTGAAGCAGTAATGCGTTTCGGTTTGAAGGGTGGGGCAGCTATTGTAACTATACTGAGACCTTAGAACTTATATCTCAAGGTGGGTGGCACATTTACGTTGTAGATGTCTATGGACTCCAGTAACCACTTAACACCAGGTGGGCTGTGAGCTCGTCCTCCCATCTAAGCAATAAAAAAATTAAAATATCTTCAACGACCATAATAATATCCCCAAATTTTTTTTTGCTGCCCTTGTAGGCAGATGGCCTACCTGATGGTGCGTGGTTACCGACGTCCATGGACGTCAGGAATGCCAGGGGATGAGCCAAGTCGCTGCCTACCGTTTACCAAATGGTTCCATCGGTTAATAAATGCCTCTGAGATTCTCCTCAGAATTATTGGGCCTGGCCTCATGGTACTCGTGTCCCCGCGTGAGGTGCCCGTTCATATACTGCGCCGAATGTTGGCGCGAGGCTGGCCAGCGGTGCCTGGCCTGCGACCCGACTCTAGCCGAACTTAGTGAGGTTAATTCATTGAGCGACGACGAGAAAATTAAATGATTAATGTGTACGCTTTTTATTCATTGCTGTAGATAGTCTCCTCAGTTGTTTGCACTCTTGGCAGGGTGGTCGTGGTCATTATTAAAGTGGCGGTACGGTTTACCAGACGCCGCCATTCTTCACGTACCGCGAGCCTGAAGTCGTCGTGGCCTAAGGGATAAGACGTCCGGTGCATTCGTGTTGAGCGATGCACCCGGTGTTCGAATCTCAGGCGGGTACCAATTTTTCTAATGAAATACGTACTCAACAAATGGTCACGATTGATTTTCACGGTGAAGGAATAACATCGTGTAATAAAAATCAAAACCCGCAAAAATTATAATTTGCGTAATTACTGGTGGTAGGACTTGTGAGTCCGCGCGGGTGGGTACCACCACCTTGCCTATTTCTGCCGTGAAGCAGTAATGCGTTTCGATTTGAAGGGTGGGGCAGCCGTTGTAACTTACTTGAGACCTTAAAACTTATATCTCAAGGTGGGTGGCGCATTTACGTTGTGGATGTCTATGGGCTCCAGTAACCATTTAACACCAGGTGGGCTGTGAGCTCGTCCAGCCATCTAAGCAATAACAAAAAAAAAAAAAATTTGGTGCTCTGGTTGACGGAATCGTTTAGGGCTGTAGTAGATAGTAGATGAGGCAAATATCCACTTATAATGGTTATCGCAGCCTATAGATATTACTCATTATGACATTAAGTCGAACACCCGAAGATACTCTATGTGTAAACAAACTATGTATATGTTTTGAAAATCATATCATGTAATTACTTCTCGATAATGATGTTGAATTAGTGAAGAGCAGCAGTTTCGATAGGTACAGTGCCCGACGATAAATATTACACATCGACTATTGGAAAGAGACAGTCGGTTAATTTCGTAGAGCGCTATCTCTGTCCCAAACGTCATACGGGTAGGGTGTTTTTCAAATGTCGCTGTGCTAAGTTTATTGCAGGGTACTGTAGAGTTTTAGTGTCTTATTACTTTTATTTAAGTACTAGCTCGGTGTCGCGAGTGTTACTGTACACTCGAAGAAATCCAGCAATAACTTGAAAACGCTAACAGCGTGTACATGGTGAGCTTGAATAAGTTAAGAGTTCCCAACAACATTCGAACTGTCTGTGTATCCCCAAAGACTCGCCTTCGTAAGTAATTGTCGCGATAAACTCCGGGAGGGAGGTTCGTTCCAAAGTCGGTTGGTACATGACAGAAAATATCTTGGGAAACGTATTGTGGGTGAACGCAGTGGTTCTAGGTATAAAGAATGAGTCGGCTCCGGTGCGTAAGTAAAAATGAGACAATGGAATCATCTCAAACATACGATACAAAAGAACCGAAGTCCCTCCCTGGAATTGGAAAAAAATGGACGCCTATGATGAACAGGAAATGTAGTTCGAATGGAGGAGACCAGAATGCCAAGACAACTACTATATGGCGAACTAGAGGGCCATAGAAGTCGTGGCAGGCCCAAACTCCGATGGTTAGATGGCGTAGAGCAGGACCTAAAAGCTATCGGTGTCGGGAACTGTAAGGAGAAAGTCCTGAATAAAGCAGTCTGAAGAGACATACTGGACCAGGCTAAGGCCCACTCTGGGCTGTAAAGCCTCTAGGCCCAGAGGCTCCAAACTATATTAATTAAAAACAACATTTCACAATTAATTAAATGTATTACAGAATATTAACATCTAGAATAATCCATATTCAAGTTGCTCTCCTACAGTTAAGTTGCTCACAAACTGTATGTTCTCCGCCACCTCGTTGCAGAGTAACGCCAACCCAGACAGTTGTTCGTCTCGTTTGGGATCGAAATTGTACACCAACTGTAATTGTGCGATGACGTTGACACAGTCAATAACCGACTTAGAAATCAAAACCATAAGGCCAGTTCATATTAGTATTCCCTTGGGTTATAGCGTGTCGTAGGAACAATTAATACTCGGTACTTTTACGGTATAATCTCGGCTTTTTTAATTATCCGTACATCATTTCAGACGTTACGTATACATTTACGATTTTCGAGGCGCACGAGACTAAAATATACACAGATGACTCGACTTACAAGAGAAACGGGTAGAATCTTTCTGAAGCTTTTATTTCCTTCGTTTATGAATTGCACTCATCTTTCTGCATCAGACAGGATAGAAGAATTACAGTCCACGTGGTGGCCCCTAGTTAGCGTATTGTATATAAATCACGGCTAGAGTGCCGACGTAGGTACTGTCTAAGCTTGAATGAAATCGAAGTCTCGTTTCTTTTATACTTACTATCGACAGTTTTACTCTTTAAACCGGTTTAGACCACTTCATATTAGAAACAGGCAATCGGTCATGTAAATTAATATGTTTTTAATTCATTTTGGTGAAGCAATATCCAGTGGAAAGTGACGATCGTCATCTATCTACGTTGTTAATATCAGTAGCTGTCTACCAGTATTCTACAAGAAATGAAAAAACCGTAATTTACCGATAAGAATTCATCGTATGTGATGAATCCGTCCATATCGGTATCCGCGGCATGGAACTTCTCTTTTCTCACTTCCGTCGTGCTCTCGTCTCCGAGGCTTTCAAGGACTGCGCTACTAAAATTTTAAAACAGATATAGCGTTTACTTTTAGCCGATTTTTTAAATTTTAATATCATCTAATTGCGCGTGTAACCTTTTTAAGCATCAAGTACTCTGTGTCAAGTGTCAACGATGTGAAGTGACTAATAAAAATGTCTATTTATCTGCATACGCTGTTATGAGACACAAGTGAATATGTTTTGGTGACAGAGCTTAGACTGTTCTCCAGTAGAGAATGACACTAAAGATCTTTGCCATTACGATCCGGTGGTATTAAAGATACTGCTAGAGCGAATATTAGAAAACTCTCTTAAGTTGAGCCCGTGAGCTCACTTACCCGTCCGGTTGTAGTTTAAATAGCCCCTTAGGCTACCAGCAATTAAGTAGGAAAAAAAGGTCTCAGAGCGTCAGCTACTAAATAGAAAGATCAGAAATGTGATAATATATTTAGAAAACCTCTATAAGGGTGTTCACGTTGTGAAGTCTACGGTAACCAATAACATAATGTGGATACTGCTGTACTACACCGATACCCTTAATTATTTGGTTGCAGAAACAGGCGGGAGGGTGATTGATGCCAGTAAATATTACTTTTACTAATTTCACTATATTGACACATTAATATCTGCCGTCGACACGAGACGAAGTCGCGGTACACTTAGCGGTAAATTGTTGGCGTTACTCGTGAGTTTGGGGTAATGGAAAAAGCGTAGCCAAGTCACTGCTATATCATTAAGGGTCCTTAACAAAGTTCGTCTGGAAAATTCTTGTAACTTCACAAAGAATACAACGAGCATTAGAATTCAGTACGTAGTTGAATGATACGTTGTAAAACTGATCTTAGGTAATGTTCTAGGTTATCTGTTCTTACATATTTTGCACCTCAACTAATCTGTGTGCTTATTGCGATTTTTTCCCCTACCTATGCTGATTGCCTTGGCTATTTCAGCGTAACCTTAACTAGTAGGTGAGCTCACGGGGCTCGAACCGGGAGTGTTACTAACACTGGGCCTAGCAAGAGCAATGCTTCGCAGAATCTACCACCGGATCGGAACCGCCCGCCACCCGCTGAGAAGATCCGGCGAGAAACTCAATGAGCTGTGTCTGTGGGTTAATTCGCTCGTCGAGCCCTTCGTCACAAGCGACGGGTTCGACGAGGACGGTGACCGGTGCTTGTGGTACATAAAAGCACCGTTAATGGATCGGGGACATGAGTTTTTTAACTTCTCGACCACGTAAAGCTCCCCTTCGTTTGCCGCTAGAGGCGCTGTTCCAACTCCATACAAATTTCGAGTTAACTTCTACGCGATCGTGAAGCTAAGAAACTCGCACTAAGTACACAGGTGTCGTTCGAAAGTGTATAACAACAACAGTCACGCCTCAATAAATGTAAGATAAAGGTTATTATTGTATGGCTTGTATGGCTTAATGCGCCCTCGCTGGATCAATGTAAATGTATGAGAGCCAGAGCGATTTACTTACTAATAAATAAAGTTATAAAAAATCTGTTATTTTTAATGCCTGTTGATTATCTGTAAAATATGCGCCCTCGGTAATTTTCAAATTTAGTATTGCGCCCTTAAGGACAAACAGGTTGCCGACCCCTGGCTTAGATTATGAAAACTTTTTCAGGCGAGCAAAAACACTAACAAGTCGTCAAATCCAAGCATTCCGTTCGATTGGTTATCGAACAGTAAAAATAAACTGTGCAAGTTGACAATGGTAATCTCATTCCACCCTGGAAACCTACTGATGACTTTCTGCATGCTCCATCTACGGTCATTCTCTTTCATTTCCTGTAAAAAAAAAAACTGAAATCGCTTACAATGTTATAGGACATGTATTTTGAACCTATACGATTACGTGCTCAAGATAAATAAAAACTCTCGCGAAATTACAAATTAAAAGTCAATTTAATTATCACGACACATAAGATTAGACTTCAACTATCGCAATTCAATTCATTCGATTTGCTTCAGGTAATCCGTCCGTTGTTTCACTCCAAATAGAACCAATTACACAAATACAAAGTACCCTCATGTCGCCTTTTCAACGTTCTTCATAGTCAATATGTCTACAACTTTCCAGAACATTTTAGATAGTACTTTATAGATGTTTCGATAACCGTTTTCGCTATTTCACGACAGATGGCGTTACTCATGCCAGCATAACTGTATTGAGGACTAGCTGACCCGGCAGACTTCGTAGTGCCTCAATCGATAAATACAAAACCTAAGCTTCTGTATAAAATAAACTTAAAACAAACAATAGGAATCCGTATTTTTAAGCTTGAACTTAATAACTACCGGTCTATGTAACGGAGTCCCTATCTAACGTTATTATCACGAATTTCAAGATGCTTATTTAGAAAGGCTTACACCCGTCAGGGACTGATGCCAAAATAATAATTTTATTACTTTGTCCGACCAGGATCACCTGGATTTTTTATTATTATCGCTAAAATGGATGGACGGACGAGCTCACAGTCCACCTGATATTAAGTTGTTACTGGAGCCCATAGACATCTATAACGTAAATGCGCCAGCCACCTTGAGATATAAGTTCTAAGATCTCAGTATAGTTACAACGGCTGCCCCACCCTTCAAACCGAAACGCATTACTGCTTCACGGCAGAAATAGGCGGGGCGGTGGTACCTACCCGTGCGGACTCGCAAGAGGTTCTACCACCAGTAAAAATCGTCAAATTGGTCTTTGAACCGGTCCACGTCCTCGCCAAACCCGTCGCTTGCGACGAAGGGCTCGACGAGTAAATTAACTGATAGACACAGCCCACTGAGTTTCTCTCCGGCTCTTCTCAGTGGGTCGCGTTTCCGATCCGGTGGTAGATTCTGCGAAGCACTGCTCTTGCTAGGGCCAGGGTTAGCAACATTCCCGGTTTGATCCCCGTGAGCTCACCTACACATTAGGGTGAAGCTGAAATAGCTTCTCAAGGCTATCCGCACAAATAGGGAACAATAAAAGCGTCCTTGAAGCGTGTACACTTTTCCAAGTTAATCGGACGTCTTGAAGTCGCCGAAAATTACATTCAAAAATTCCGTTAAGTACGTACAAATATAATTACCTGGCAACATTGATATATAAAAACCCAAGATGCACAGTCTCATACAAAAGTAGCGCTCGGAACTGTCCCGGAACACTCGCCAATTATATCTACGTAGTTACCTAGTCAGGTCATAAATTCTGTCACATGTTTAATGTAAAATAATTGAAACAAGTTTATTCATTATGTAACCATTCATATACCAAAATGAACTTAACAAAACATAGATTCTTATGACACTAAAGTTTATTCAAAATGACCTCCGTGATTTTGAATACAGGCCTTCAATCTGCGCGGCCAGTCGTCTATCGCAGCACGAACGAGGTCCATGTCAATATCGGCGGCTGCCTTAATCAAGGATGTCTTGAGTGACTCCAAATTGGGATGAGGCTTTGAGCACGCCTTTTCCTCCAAGTGTTGCCATATCTTGTAATCTAACGGATTCAAATCTGGACTGGAGGAGGGCCAGTCTTCGTGCCGGATGAAGTCGATTTCACGCGCCGCCAGCCAGTCTTGTGTGCTCTTCGCTCTATGAGCTGGCGCCGAATCTTGTTGGAATACCCAGTGCCTGTTATTGAACATGGTATGAGAAACAGGTTCCACAAGGTTCGTCAGGACTGTATTTTGATACACAACTGCATTCGTTTTTACACCTTTCTCACAAAAATGTACCTCTGTTAAGCCCCAATAAGAAACTCCCAACCATACCATGAGCGAGGATGGAAAATGACCTCGTTGGACACGCGGAATACGGTTGCTCGCTTCTTCACTACTGTGTGCGTACACCTTATCATTTTGTTTGTTGTAGCTCTCTTCTACGGTAAAATTTTTTTCATCCGAAAAAAGAATTTCCCGATATATTTTTCCCGCGTACCGCTTCAACAAAGCGCGGCATCTCTTCAGTCTCAGGTCCATTAGACGAGCATTCAAACGATGTCCTGTTTTTCTTCGATATGCCCGAAGCCGAAGCCGAAGTCTTCATTTAACACCCTTTTCACCGTGGTTCTGCTTAACCCCATCTGAAGGGCCAACAGTTTCTGCTTACGTTTGGGATTTCTTTGAATTCGCGCCTTCACAACTTTTATCACTGCTGGAGTCCTATCAGACCGAGGGCGACCACTTCTTGACCTGTCATCTACACTAGAGTCTTCATTGTATCGTTTGATGGTACGATAAACGAATCTTTTGGTTATATTCAAATTTTTCAGTATGTTAAAAAATTGAATTGGCGCGTAACCGCAACGATGCAACGCAATAACTGCAACGCGGTCTTCTTTAAGCGTCCACTCCATATTTAAAAATGAGTAAAATTCTAAAAGTATACTTTTTTATTTTCATGAACAATTCGAAATTCGAATTCAATAAACTTTTTTGTGGCCAGCATTCTAAAAGAAAAGTTTTTACTGTGTGACAATACTTATGACCTGACTAGGTATAATTATACTATAAACATATCTTTTGCAAATTCAACCTTACGCACCATTGATATAATTCGACGCTTGAAAGGCAAACGTGACTAAGCGACAATAACTGCTTTGTACATAAATGATAGGCAATAACCATATTCGATATGCAAAAAATATATATTTCTAGGTTTATCTATTAAAATCTATTAAAATCATTTCAATCCTACAGCTAGTTTCGTTAAATTAGATTTTTTTTCAAGTATTTCAACTTTAAATTAGTCTACTGTAAAGTTCACGCATTGCCGCTTAGTCACGTTTGCCTTTCAAGCGTCGATTATATACCTACATCAATGCCTGGCAAGCTAATAAAAAAATATGTGATTACTTGATTATACTCGCGTTGTTCAGCTAACCTCTTGTAGAACATATCCACAAGCTTGTCGTAATCAGTCAGTGGAGCTTTTTGTTCTTCTGCGACCTTCTTTATCGGTTCTCCTGTTGTTACAACAGTTTCTTTAATAACACTAACGCATTTCACGACAAAGCTGCAATGCGCTATGTCTTTTTATTTCATTTTTATTGCTTAGATGGGTGGACGAACTCACAGCCCACCTGGTGTTAAGTGGTTACTGGAGCCCATAGACATCTACAACGTACATGCGCCACCCACCTTGAGATATAAGTTCTAAGGTCTCAGTATAGTTACAACAGCTGCCCCGCCCTTCAAACCGAAACGCATTACTGCTTCACGGCAGAAATAGGCAGGGCAGTGGTACCTACCCACGCGGACTCACAAGAGGTCCTACTACCAGTAAAAAGTTCTTCGTAAGTTGTTTGTATAATATTATCTTAATACAAAAGGTACCAATGCATTAATTAAATATTTTCATGTAGATAAAAGTGGAAAGTCACATTTCGTAGTATGAATTTGTTTACTTGTAAGATTGGAATTTAATTTAAATTTCAACAGTCCGCTTGGTACAAAATATTTCCATCAGTATCACTATCCAGAGGTCACGGGGGATATGTTGGTATGAACTAAAGAGAACGCGCGTTTCCTCTTGTTTTGAGTTTTTCGTACTTAAGTAGGTATATTAATATTCGTATCGAGTTATGTGACTTTTCCAAAAAATCAAATATTCCAGATATTGTCCCCCCCCCCCCATTATTTCAGGAGCGTGGCTACTGGTGTAACTACTTAATTGCGGGGTATGGAATGTCCGCCCGAATTACCACTATCCAAATTATTGCAATGCCGCTGGTGGCCTTGAGAGGCTATGCCAGCATAACCGAGCGAGTAGGTGAGCTCACGGGGCTCTAACCTGACCTAACCTAACACTAGCCCTAGCAAGAGCAGTGCTTCGCAGAATCTACCATCGGATCGGAAACGCGACCCTCTGAGAATATCCGGCGAGACTTTCAGTGGGCTAGTTGACGCATGAGGTACGACAGACATTATAGATTTGAGACTTCAACCTCATGAGTCATTATGGATATACACAGTGACATCAATGAGCTCTGGTAATCACATAAGCACAATGGTTTTTAGTTGGAGACACTGTAACAGCTACATGTGGCCAAAAGTATTAATAGCTTGATTTTTACTGGCCATAACTGAGTATGGTCCCCAGGATTGACTTATGCTCTCTGCTCATATACTATTAGATTTTTTAAGGATTACTGGTGTGGCCCGGAAGCTTTTCCAGTTTCACCAGGATAAGTGGGCGAGTATAGACACAGCCGGGAGGGCTGGGATTTGCTAACAGCTACCCAAGCGCCTCCAAAAGAGACCTAACAACTTAAGAGTAGCCTGCTATTTATTAGTCTAGTTGGCAACGAATTGTCGATTTTCAATACTTAACCGGTCGCTGTAAAGTCTTCCTGTCTGTAAAAACATATCGGCTTCCTCTTCACCGGGTACTCGAAGAATCTTCCCAGGCCGGACAGTAAATTGCTGAGTTGATGTCCCATTTTTTATTAACTTTATTATATGTAGCAATGTTATTTGGTTAAGCGTTGTGACAGTTGTGGCTACTGTCGATGTCATGTTAGTTTCAAATTCATTTGTCCATGTCGCCTTCGGATTTATACTGTACTAGCTGTACCCGTCGCTTCGCTGGGCATTTAAAATAAATATCATTCTCACCCCCACAAAGATTCTGATTATTAAAGCCCCCGCAATTGGTGTAGGGAGTCCAACACTCATATAAATATTAGCGTATCCATTAAGTACATGCATTTTGTACATGGATACCAAGTTTCAAGTCAATCGGATGCATGGTTCGGTAGTCATAACGGAACATCCGTAAAAACCACTGTAGATTTATTTATTAGTATAGATTAAAGCAATGACTATTTGCTTCACGCTCATATCGCTACGTTTGAGGTTTCAATGAAATATTCCTATAGTCCTAAGTGTTGGTTAATAGGTAGTTCACACAGATAGATATAATGTTAGCTTAGTCGTTATATAATCTATTCTTCGACCTCACGTCTCGAGAAGATGCGCAAGATGTCACCGTTTGTGCTCACTGGTAACCATTTAGTACTAGTCGGGTCTACGAGTTTGTACACTGATCAAGTCCTTAAAAAGAGATGAAGTAGCTCGTAATTATCTGGTCAAAATGGTAACGATTGCATGCGAAAGGCAAGAGAGCGAAAATAATGAGGTGCATTCGAAGAAACCTTCACTGACTGTAACGTGTATAATGCGACGTAATGACGATTCTCATAACATTAATCTTTGCTGACACTCTACGAAATACAGTCTTTGACTCTACGACGTACACGTTAGAAGGAAGTAAAAACTGTGATTAACTAAGAATAAAAATGTAAGCCCGATCGTAACGTTTGTCATTTATCTAAGAACCCAAACATTACACTGACACTCAGCATTGGGGGTACACAGGTTGAAGACGTAACGCGTTATTCCCTCATACATAATACCGTTTAGAGTTTCATAGATTTCATATAAAGTGTATTATCTATGTTTGAGTTACAGCAGTATTATTGTGTAATCTATGGAAACAAAGGTAGGTATGTCATACTTATTTCAATCACTCTTAATCCGCTTATACAGACAAAGGAAATAAAGCCTAAACGGCTAAGCATATATAATATATTGTAATTACGAAGCCGTGCATTTTAAGCGAAGTACTCCAGTTACGTGTTACGAATTTACAAATTTCGAATGACTTTTTGGGAAAACCCGATAACCGAATCTGAAGAAAGAAATCTTCACATTCCCGCCAAAAAGTCAAGACGAATTACTTAATGTCATTACAATTCGCTGCTATCCACAGAGTCGTAAAATGGGAGTGCACAGGATATCTTTAGACATCCTTAGATTTCAGAAACTATGAATCAATAGCTGTAAGGATACAAGGAGGTAAAGTGTAAGCCTTAAAGACTAATAATCTAATATGCGGTGTAAGGCAGGGGGGTTGAGGGTATGCAAAAAATAAAACCACTAATATTTCTATCAATCACTTGATTAATTTTCATACAAAATTCCATTAAAAATTTCAAAAATTTGACATTATATAGCGTCATACACAAATCGATAAGATTAGAATAAAAACTAAAAAAAAAACATATTAATTAATTACCGAAGGGGTAAAAAAATATAATAATAATAATTAAAATGTAAACGAAACACGGTAGGCAGTAAATTATACTAAATTAAAATATAGGAACATTTTATAAAATTTCAGTCTTCATTCAACATTATTACAGAAGATTAACATAAGGTTATTGATGTAAAAGAAAGAGACTGTTGTCTGGCTGTCCTTTTTACACATAACACACTCAGTCTAGAACATTTCGGGCTTTCTGTCCAGTTTCCGATAATACGGGCCACGTTGACCGGTGACGTCACGATCGACGGGCTAAGCCAAAGGTGACGAAGCATCCAAACTCATACAAGAACCACAAAAAACCGCATTGTCGTTGCTAAGCATTTAATAATTAGAGCCTAAAGTCAGCAACGCATTCGCAAAATTACCTACAGTATAACGTCGTGTTAAATCTTAATTTCGCGCGTTTCCTGTCCCACCCCGGCTCAGACCGTCGACCGTAATCCGGAATGCGGATTTTAATAGTTTCGGAATCTTCAACTGTCAGACATACACAAAATAATACATAGCAATACAATAATACACGATGCGTAACATTCTATTTTTTTCGAAAACTCATCAATTACATGTAAACATTTCCAACAAAACAAAAAAAATATATATATTATATAATAATAATGATGATGATGAACCATTTTTCTTGATTTAGATTCGTCTCAGAACTACAGCACGGAGTTCACGAACATCAGTGCTGCGACATTAACTATCCTTCACAACTAGTTCGGGAACGAATATACGGCTCATTAAAAATAACACATCGAACGATTACCATAGATTATCATATGTGCATTGAAATACGTCAAACGTGCAAAACGTAAAAAAGGCGCGAAAAAGCGAGTGGATAAGGAGAGGGCGGGGGGAGAGAATGAACGACAACAGACTAGCTTACCGGTGATCATACCACCAATGCACACCGATCAGCTTTGAGTGCTTCGAATGAGGTAGACGCGGTCTTAAAATTGAACACTAACAGATGCACTGCGAAGGGAATCCCATCGCAGTGCATCATTTACAAAAATACTACATACTATCTCAATTACACATGATATTTGATAGACGCTCCGTGCGCCTTCACCCTAATCGTTTCGCTCTTATACTTAATACATCGGGCGAGGGCGCACGGCGCGATACGTTTTTATCACTAAAAAACCTAACACAACACAAGCTCCTATTTAATTTTACAAAAATAGCACGAGAGAACCGCTCTCTTCGTACCGTTTAGCCAAAATCTCATGGTTCGCCGTTTAAAGAGATTATTATTTAATCAATACGAATTCAAAGTGTTGCGTCTTTCGAACTGATCCAAATGTACGGCCGAGTTTTTGTTCAACGATCGAATAAAATTAATGTTTGAAAAAAAAATAATGAAAAAAACATTTTTTTTTTTTAGTTTTCAATAAATCATAAATGGATTACAGTCAATCAAGTTCGTAGAAAAATTACGTCAATTTAATTGCTTTTATTTATTATTTATCACAAAAACGACAATTTTATACTGCTAGCAACTAGCAGCTCTCACTGTAAAAATACGTAAAATAAATTCCGGCAACAGAGCCAAACGGTCGGATGTTCCTGAAAATTGGTAAGAAAACTTACGGCGTTTTTACTGATTCAGCAGACATTTTAATTCTAGTTCGTGTAATTGCGAACCAATCGGTTTCGTGTTCAGAAACATTTGCTGTCCAATTTCGAAAGCTGCAATAGGCAACATCGGATTTTGGCTCTGCCGAGCAGAAATCGCATCCAAAACATTATTTTATAACATCCTTTTGACAGTCGAACCCGTCAAAAACGCTTCGACGTATATAGACGTTGTGCAACTACCTTCATAAAGCAGTGAATTCATAAATCGAATCAGTTTTGACGTGTCCGAAAAAAGGTTTAACATTAGCGACAAAAATTCATGTAAAAAAAAAAAAAGAAAAAACAAATAAATGCGATTTTTTTTTTAAATAAAACTACACACACGCAAACGCGTTCGAAGAGCTTACAGCCGAGACGTCCAGGGGAGCGCCGGCCTATGGCCGTTATCCGGTTATTGACTAAAAACTTCTAAGCCATATTTTGTGACTGTTTATAACAAGACTGTGAGTCTATAAAACACAAATCGAGGAGGTATATACCGGTTAAAAAAATACCTTTAAAATTTTATTAAAAAAAAAAAAAAAATTACCTACTGTGATGAGTGAAGAGAATACGCGGTTATCCGGTGACTTCACATTTACATTCTTTGAATGGGTANATTACCTACTGTGATGAGTGAAGAGAATACGCGGTTATCCGGTGACTTCACATTTACATTCTTAGAATGGGTATGGCGGTGAATACGTAGGAAAGTTGCTTGGCAAATCCGTTCAGTTTTACGTTAGACTGATTTTACAATTAACATGAGATTCGTTGTCAGCCATCGACAAAACAAAAACTTGTACATTTTTTTTTTTCAATATTACGAAGAAGAAAGAAAAAAACAATACACATACCGTTACGCATTACATGCAACACATTATTTTTAAAATAACGTAATACTTTGTTTTTATTTTTTATCTTAAAAAAAAAAAATTATAAAAAAATGGCACTGAACAAAACAAAAAAGGTAAAAAATATATAATTAATTTAAATTATTCAACTTATTTACTGGATTTTTTTTTATATATATGTATATATTTAGGGAACAACAGTCGGCAGTTACGTATTCTGAAACGGGCGATCCATTGTCGATGCCTCCAATGAACACTACTCTAACTAAAAATTTTGAAATTTTAGTTTTCCACGCAAATCGCTTCGCTATGTTTAAAGTATTACAATTAATCATTATTGATGGGGATCGAAGCAAGAGTAAATCAGCTAGTTACACAAAAAAACCATAAATATATCTGCAATAATAAAGATTTTATAAACTTTTTTTCGTTTAAACGCTCCTCCTGTAAATCTACGAATTTGGAGTTAGCGTAGTGTTCATTGGAAGCATCGTTGTAGAGACGAACGTCTGTTACGTTAGTTCGCTCGCTTGCTCGCAGGGAAAAGTCTTAAAATACTCGTCTATAATCCCGTATATTTAGGCAGACTCGTCGTGATCCCGAAAAGAGATTTGCTCACGGGCGGATCACTTATACGACTTACGAATTGAGAGTCAAGACGCAAGACACTATTATACACATCAACAGAAGACATCCACACGAAATGCGCTGTGATTTTCGCTCGCACCAACAAAAGAGTTATCCGGAAATCCGACATTAGTCAAACCGGAGAACCAAAGATATAATCCATCGAAGTTTCTAGTTTTTTTTTTTTAAATCCATAATAAAAAGAGCGAACTGCATTATTTTTTTTTCACACATCGTGCACGAGCGAAAATCATCATACTTATTACACGTTGCAAGCACACACGTTACCGAAAAACATTTATCACTATAATAATGTTATCAAACATTACGGGTTTTCTTATTATTATTAATTTTTTTTTTTAAAACATTCTCTACAATAGAAACTTCAAACAACGATTTTCTTTATATAATATTTTATTACATCATATCATTTAAATTCATGTAATCTCAACATACACACATATATTTATATATTTTTTTTTGTTTATAATCAGTTCCATAGACAATTTATGCTAAGATATTATTATTTTTTCGAGAAAATTTTTGTTTGAAGTTACGGACACACACTTAACATTACTTCGACCAAACATTTTTTTTTATAATAATAATAATAATTTTTATTATTATTAAGAGGGGGGAGCGCTAAAACTATAATCCATTATCCTAAGTACAAAGGTGAAAAAATCTAATAAGTAACTTATTATTTTTAAAGTTAACATTATTATGCATCATATTTTTTTATTATTTTTCAACCATTGCTTTTGTATACGTGTTCAAGGTTATCATTATAATAATATGAGGTTTATTATTAATTATTTTTATTATTTCATAATTATAACATGCCTTGTAGACATGGCGAGAATGCTGACTATTATTTTTTAGCGTGGGAAGAGATCTTTCTAGAATTTACAAGAGCTTCCAAAGAGATGTCTTGGACAAGACTTAGTCTACACATACAAACTATTTGTTTAAACATTGAGGTTATTTTTTTTATCATTAACAGATACATTTAAAATACACATCGATAGTCAAGCAGATTAATGTGAACCAAAAAATATATATATAATCGCTAAATATATTAAAACGGATAAAATGTGGATAGCCTATGTTTTTTTTTTTTTGTTACATTATAATATTAATAAACGATATTTTCTAACAAGGCGATATTTTAACAGTGTGATATATCCAACAACGCGTGCCATCTGCTTCGCTTCCGATATGTAGATTAAAAACAAATTCATGCGACTTCGCCATTTAACATACAATATTTATACTGCATTCAGGTATAATTTATACGATTCACGAATATTTCATAACGCAACGGACATGGCGGATGCAGTGAGTTAAAACGTAATTGACTAACGGGGTCTCTTACGGGGGCGGGGGGTTGGGGGGACACTACAGCTCGCTCCTATATCTTACGCACGTCGGGTCCAAAAAAAACGATCGGGCGTTATTAGCTCGGGCGCACGCGGTCTGTATTGGCGGCCGCGAATTGTCTATCCTCTTCTAACGCACGGGTCAGAGAGCAACAGAGATACGTCGCGAACATCGTACGACTTCGCGACCATCGACGCTGAATCGTCACTCGTACGAACGACAGAGACAGCGCTCTACAAATCGCCGAACCTAAGCTGTCGTCTCGCTCTAAATACCGAGGTCCGTAAATTATAGACGCGAGAGAATCACGATCGTAAAACACTTACACGCTAATGAGAACTAATTAAACCACGCGTATTTCACTAACATGCAAATTATAATTACGTATTAACATTAATAGCTACATACATTAAGTGAACACATAGCGATTGAACACATTGATAGTTTTTTTTTTTAAATCTAATTAAAATATACATAAATATATATAATTGCATATACATATATATTTAGGAAATTTATTAAAAAGATCCTCTTTTTTTAGAAATCGATGAATTTAGCTAATATTTATATATATATATTTGAACTAATGATTTTGGCGCTTCGAATGATTTTTTCGCCGAAAATGACGAAAGCCGAACGCGCCAAGAATTAAACTACATAATTTTAAACAATTCGCGATTAATAATGATCGATATCTTCTAAGCATTAGCTAATTAGATGATACATCCATAGAGGATTTAGTATTTATGATGATTATAATATATTTATATATAATATAGAGGGCTGAAAAGCTATTTGACTTAAGCGAGATATCATTTCATACGCTACATTTATACTTTGTAATTAAAGGACCATTTTATTTGGTATTGGAACGAAGTTCCTTACAACAGGCTTGGAGATAGGGATGTTGCTGCGCGACCGAACTGAAAAAAATGCGATAGTAAAAACCGTAAGAAAAAGTCCGTGGAATAAAACCGTTAAATGAGACGTGCGCAGGCGCGACAGTCGTATACACAAGCGAGTAGTATACCTTTCTCTTTCTCCTACCTTTTTTTTTTTTGCAAATTGTGTCGATTCTACATTAGACGAAGGAGCTTCGTTCCTACCTGGTGTCCCACGCCACATTTTAGTTTTAGTATCAATGATTCGATGTTCGATAATCGAACTTAAGCTTTTAAAACTTAAACTTAAGCTTTACTTAAAATTTTGAACTTTTATTTTTATGCTTAGATGGGTGGAAGAGCTCACAGCCCACCTGGTGCTAAGTGGTTACTGGAGCTCCTAGATATCTACAACGTAAATGCGCCACCCACCTTGAGATATGAGTTCTAAGGTCTCAGTATAGTTACAACGACTGCCCCGCCCTTCAAATCGAAACGCATTACTGCTTCACGCTTCACGGCAGAAATAGACAGGGCGGTGTTACCTACCCGTGCGGATTTACAAGAGTTCCAGTAATTACGCAAATTATAATTTTACAGGTTTGATTTTGATTACACGATGCTATTCCTTCACCGTGGAAGTCGATGGTGATCATTTGTTGAGTACGTATTTCATTGGAAAAATTGGTACCCGCCTGCGGGATTCGAACACCGGTGCATCGCTACACACGAATGCACCGGACGTCTTATCCTTTGGGCCACGACGACTTTCAAGTCGCTCTCTTGTACAATTTCGAAAATGTCGCTTAAGCCAAACAACCTTTCGTCTCTCGATAAATATATGTAATAATATGTATTATATTATATATAGCGCTAAACTAAACAAACTTAGTGCATATTAAGCGCTATGCAAACACAAGATAACAGCGTGATCGTAATACGAACGAAAATACATTACTAATTCAGTTCTAATTCTTTAGAATTAATTAAGTTCAAAAAGGACTCTCTGGTCACGAGTAAAAAAAAAAAAGGAAATACTCTTAAAAGGAAGTAAAAAAATATCACGTCGTATTTTTTTTTTTCGTTTTTCATTTTTTAATTTACAAAAAAAATAAGTGATTAGAAACAAATATGGCATACCAACGCCTAGAACGTAGACGAACGCTCGCGTTTCGACTAAAAGTTGGAAAAAAAAAATTTGGTAAAGGAAATTAAAAACGAACAGTCCACGCCTTAAACCGCCGCGCCGAAACCGGTGGAGGCACAACCAACGTCTTTAAGACAGTCTTCTGAAGTCAGTCTTAAATATCATTATTATTATATTTTTTTTAAACATTTTTTTTTTTTTTTTTATTGCATTGATTCTGTTGCTCACACGCACAATTCATTTACCGTTTGCCATAATTCACGAACGATTAAAATGGGATAATGAAGCGAGCGTCAAATAAAGAACACTAAAAGCGCCGAAGAATGACGTCATTATTTAGTAAACACTCCGATGATATTCCCGTGCCGCCTAGCGCGCGACACGAGGCAAACACACAAGATCGAACCTAGCCTTCCACGTCATAGGGCCATACAGCGCCGTCGGGCAAACATCTAAGGTTAACAAAACTCATTACGCGATCAATAACTTACTTTTTAAAAAATTACTCGTCAACGTATGTCGAAACCAACCGATGAAATAATAATAATAAAACACGAAAATAATAGATAATAATAATAATAATAATGTAACATTTTGGAAAAATACTTTTCAAGTTATCATTTTAAATTTATCTCACATTAAAAAAAACATCTTTTACATCACATTGTGATTTCATTATAGTATTAAAACTTTTATTAAACGCCATTACATGTGTTAGAGCAGGACGGCGCGCGAACTGTTAGCGCCATCTTGTAATCTTGTACGTACGGTTACGAAAAGATAGTATTGCTATAAATCTACCACCATATTTATACTAAAACATTAACGCTATCGACTGCTATCAGTTAGTGGCGTTTATAAATGTCGATGCTTGGATTAAAACTGCGAAGTTTGGCTAACGCGGACTAGTCTAGACGGAAACGAAAATCGAATTACATATTGGTAACGATAAACTCAATGGGACTCAATGGGACTCACTCAGGGGGGGGGGATTCGGTTGCGTACTTAACGCCGCTCTCCGCAAGCTATGCTCGATTTGAATCTTTCCAAAAGTTCATAATAAAAATTGGCACATTGTCAAAGAAATCACAACTTAAAACGAAATAAAAAAAAAATAAAAAAAAATACATAGTGGACCTTAGGTCCGAGAACGCAGTTCGCCCTACCTTATTATAAATTATTATTATTATTATTACTAATATACTTTGATGTATTGCTTGCCGTGCGATGAGACGTCCCGAGCGGTGTCCGGCAGCGTCTCAAACAAGACCACCAGGTAGCCTTCCGGCGTGAGCGCCACGTCGCTCGGCCGGTCCTTGTCGTCCAGACCGGGACTCTTCAGGTCCACGGCCCACAAAATCCTCAGTTCAGATGTGAACACTAGCACGCGGTGATTCTTCGAATCGGCGACCACTATGCGTCCGTCGTCGTCCGTCACTATGCCGGACGGACGGTTCAGTTCGCCGATGCCGGAGCCCTCGCGGCCGACGCAGTGCAGCACCTTCGTCAGGGTCGGGTCCACCATTAACAAACGATGATTCTCGAAGTCCGAAACGATTATGTTCCCCGAAGTCGTGAAGCAAACACCTCTTGGTGTAGTCGGTCCCTTCAACATCTTCGCTGGATTGGCGCCCTCGAAAACGAACTTCGTGATGTAAGTTCCGTCACTCGTGAACAGTTGGATGCGGTGGTTACGCGTGTCCGTCACAACTATATTACCTAAACTGTTCACGGCCACGTCCCATGGATACTGGAACTGCCCGCATTCCTTCCCAAACGAACCGAATTTTAATATGAAGTTACCAGACGACGTGAAGATCTGAACTCTGTGGTTATCTTTGTCGATAACGATGATGCGTCCGTACGTGTCGGTGGTGATGCCGGCGGGCAGATCAAACTCACCCGAGCCGGTGCCCTTGGATCCGAACATCATCTTAAATTCGCCACGGCTATTGAATATTTGTATTCTGTTATTTCTTCTATCTGCTACTATAATGTTGCCTTCCTTGTCGACGCAGAGGCCCCAAGGCCGCGAGACCTGGCCTTCATCTTGGCCTTCCCTTCCGAAAGAGAACATCGGCACACCGGGCACTGGACTCCTCGTCGGTCTGACAGTTACCGACATCCAGTAGCCCGGGATGGCTTGCCCGATCCCACGAGAAACGTTCGGTTCCAGGGCCATGCTCGACGAGATACTGTGGTCGTAGTAATTCGTTGACCTTGTCGAATATTCGGAGAGTGAACGTAAACTACTAGATCCGATGTAGCTTAAATGCGATAAGGATTGTCCGGACTGCAATGATTGTAGCGATAAAAGAGATTGACGGGTGGCAAGCGACGACGAGTTAAGGGAATGCATCGAGTTCACAGGCACAGATTGTACATCACATTGTCTCTTCAATTGGTCTACTAGGTCATAGTTCGGTGGTATAAACATAATCCTCTCTTCGGTAATATACATGTTCTTGAACATGCATGAGAAGTAATCAACTTGAGCTCGTCCCTTCTCTTTGGCCATGAACAATTCTATTCCGTCAGAGTCCATGCACCTCACTAGAGTTTCGTTTGTGTGCGCCAGCCCAGCCAGGATACCGCGCAGCGTGTTCATGTGATCACTGAGCTCGTTCATTTTAGCTTGGCGCATTTTCTCGACTTTGTCTAACAGATATTTCTCGCGGTCCTCTATTGCCTGCGCGTAACAACGCATGGCTTTTCTTATTTTCATATTTGCCTCGGCGGTTTCTTTTTCATAAGCCTTCGACATCGCAACGGCGCGATCTATGGCGGTTTTAATGGCCTTCGTCCCGGTTTTGGTATCTTCTATAGCTCGGAATACGCCGACGCGGCACATGTCCAGCGCTCCCTTCATGGGCGTGAAGCAGTGATCTTTGTGCACCCAAAGCGTGCATTCCTGGCAGATGAATATGATACAAGCCTCGCAATAAAACCTGACCGGGTCTCCGTGCAATTCACAATATATAATCTCTTTTTCGTTATTGACAGAATTCGGTCTGGCACCGATAGGCGAGATTTGGTGAATAGGAAGCAAAGTGTGTTCCCTCAGCTGGCAGTCTGATGTGACTTTGTGACAACATTCGTGACAGAATAGATCGTTGCACTCCAGGCAGCGAGTGGTGGGCGTGCGCTCCTCGCAGCGAAAACATGTGATCGATACCGAGGAAGATGTCCCGGGAGAGCCGCTGGAGTTCTCTTCTTTGGTCTGCTGCTGATTATTATTATTGGATAGGCCGTACTCACGACTTATTGGCCCCAGGGGGTTCGGCATGGAGCTGCTGGAGGGCAGGGCCCAGATGTCGTACGGCACGGTCGAAGAGCTGTGAGACGAGGACCCCGCTTGTAGAGCCGACGGTTTATTCATGTTTTCCAGTAGATTGCATATGATCTGTGACATCGTGTCCGTTTCCTCCTCCGTTTCCACGACGGGCGGGTCCGCTTCAGCGGTGACCGTGTTGGATGTAGATGGCAAACCGGTCGCTAGTGATCGCGCCAATTTTGCCAGTGTTGTCATCTCTTGACAGAATCACGTCATCAGAACTGAAACAAGAAGATTAAAACATATTAATTTTGACATTATTATCATACATAAACAACATTATCATATTCCTTATGACTGGTTGATCATTTGTGATTAGTCTGTTTGGCGATGAGCCAACAGATATGCGACCGGTTAAGTGGCATCGATATAATTGAGCTACTGCTGCTATTAGTTATTTGTATACGGGCTGGTTTCCGCAACTTTATGATCATAGGCAGTTTTTGCGTTTATATAGAAATATTTCTAATTCCATCGCAGTTTTTCGAATAAATCTCCCTCTAATATTGTCGACTACCTCGGGATGCCAAAGTATTTTCGCAACTTCATCGCATTCCATTCAGCTATGACTTTTTATTGCCCTAGTAGGCAGACGAGCATACGGCCCACCTGATGGTGATTGGTTACCGTCGCCCATGGACATCAGCAACCCGAGGGACACAGCCAAGACGCTGCCTACCGCGAAATTCCACTGAACTAGCCTAGTATCACTATTATTCCTTCTAAAAGTCTTCCAGTACGATAGGGCGTGCTGTGAGCCCGAGCTTGATACCGGTGATCTTTCGCGAAGCCGTGCACAGTTCAGCCTGTCGCTCTACTCTAATGTACCTGTGACTTGAACCAAGGCGGTGCCTGTGGTTGACCACCACTTAACATGATGATCCTGAGCTGTTCCTAATAAATAAAACGGTTCAGTAAAATATATCGTGACATTCCTTTGTTAAGTGAAAATTTTCTTTAGCATAGCCATTGCGATTTGAAACTCGATGGGACGGAGAAATAAAAAGAGACAAGCATATCCACCTATTGCCATTCAGTCTGCGAGAGTATGAAATAGAATATTCCGGAAGGTTTCATTTCAAACGCGCATTGCGCACGTGTTATTTTTTTGGTTTTATTATATAACCAAGAAATTATTATATTATTATTTTGAATATACTTAAGTACTGTTTATTAAAACAATTGTTTTATTTAGACAAGTGGACGAGCTGACGGCCTACCTAGTGTTAAGTGGTTACCGGAGTCCATTGAGATAAACAACATTAATATTGCCGAACACCTTGTGATATTAAGTTCTAAGTCTCGGTTTTTATAGTCCGACGGCTAAACATGGTATACTATTTTTTTTTAACACTGGGGAATCCGATTACGGATACCCGGCCGAGAGGGGTAAAAGACCGGGTTATGTCGAACTCCGGCGCCTTCAGAGAAGAACACGGAGAAGAGAAAAACCAAGGTCCTCTTCCTCTTTTAAATCCTCCCAGGATTCAAGCACCGGCACGGTCGCATCTCTCAATACAAATGCACCGGGCGTCTTATCCTTTAAGCCACGGCAACTTCAGGCATCGATCTGTACAATGCTTCTATTTGCTCGCTCAGAGTTCGAATGAGCTTTCCTAATTAATATCAATTAAAATTCCTGATGAGTTAAATATATGATATTTTGAAACGCGAAATTGCGAAGGCAACGCATTAAAGAGAAGAAATGTCAATGCGTTTCGGTAACCGCTTATAGTTAATACATAGACATAAAAACAACAAAAAACTAAAATTAACGTTATAATTTCTATCTAAAATCTAAAAATGTATAATTTTACGTTCATCTATTTATTTATTTGCCCACAAAAGCCGACAAGTCTACAGCGTGCAGTACTCAACCGAGCCACTGTCAACAATACTTCGAAATCATTCCTAACATTCATTAACATTGTTTCAACCACATCTTTGGATACCAATCGAAAAATAACAAAGTCAAATTCTTCACACACCCGAAAATGTAGCCACTACGTAAATTCAGCGGATTTCCGTATAGCTTCGTTAATTTTTTTAACTATACAAGGCATAAGCCACTGTGTTTCTCGCCGGATCTTCTCAGTGGGTCGCGATTCCGATCCGGTGGTGAATTCTGCGAAGCGCTGCTCTTGCTAAGGCTAGTGTTAGCAATTCTCTCAGGTTGAGCCCGTGAGCTTCCCTACCGGTCGGCGCGAAGTTGGAATAGCCCTTTATGCTACTAACGATTAAGTAGAGAAAAAAATAATACTCTTGTATTATTTTGTCTTTAACATGTATGTCTTATTGTCTTCAACATAGTTAAAAGCACTAAAAAAATATAATGGAAAGCCCTAGAGCGAACTTTTCATTCTCACGTTCTTTTATCAATAAGACAACAACAATTTACAAGCTTTACTACATCGAATTACTTACTTGAATAATTGCTTAATGTTGTGTACTTAGATAACATTAATTACACAAATTAGAAATGGCAATACGTTCGCCTGTTTGTTTCCAAATTAGATATTATTATGTACACAAATTGTGTGGCTATTATACGCGACATAATTTGTATTCTCTTTTTTCCCTACCTTTTTTTTATTGCTTAAATGGGTGGACGAGCTTACAGCCCACCTGGTGTTAAGTGGTTAGCCATAGACATCTACGACGTAAATACGCCACCCACCTTGAGATATAAGTTCTAAGGTCTCAAGTATAGTTACAACGGCTGCCCTGCCCTTCAAACCGAAACGCATTACTGCTTCACGGCAGAAATAGGTAGGGTGGTGGTACCTACCCGTGCGGACTCACAAGACGTCCTATCACCCGTCAGAAATGCCTATATACAAAAAGTACCTATGCTGATAGCCTTGAGAGGCTATTTCAGCTTCTCCTTGACATGTAGGTGAGCTCACGGGGCTCAAACCGGGAGTGTTGCTAGCACTGACCCTAGCAAGAGCAGTGCTTCGCAGAATCCACCACCGGATCGGAAAGGCGACCCACTGTGAAAATCCGGCGAGAAACTCAGTAGGCTGTGTCTATGGGTTGCTTGTCTCTAGGGTTGCAGCGACAGTGGTGCAGCGTGCCCAAAGTAGAGGGGGGAGGGGTAATCGCCGAAAATCTTACTGAATATCACATCGTAATCAAAACACCAACAAACAAACAAACATCCGTTATACAATATATATTTATGATCAATCTTATTTATATCGTTTTCTTCAACACTTAATCAGGTAAATATGGTAAATGGAAGTAACCCAAAAATAAGACTTATTAAAATACATATTTTTTTTTTAATATGTGTAATGTGGCAACGGCTAAGCTATACCTCCGGATTTGCTGACGTCCGCAAGTAAACATAGCCACTTCCAATCTTACGAGTCATATGTATGCTCGCTTACCATCGACGACAGAAAAAAATACACTTTTCGACTGGTAATTTACTTTTAACGAAAACAAATCTCATGACATACCTGTGATGTTCTAATAGTTCTAATACACTTTAACATAACTACATTAAATTACTTAAACTGAATTTAATTATGAACTAACTAGGTAGGTATATTTAATTAAAAAAACTAATAAAGCAATCAAATTTGATTTTTACTGTTGACACGTTCGCATCGTTTGGCTGTCGGCGTTGCACTGAATCTATTTTGGTGAGATGCATTTTGCAAAAAAAAATCGAAATCCCGAAATCTTTTGTGCCCCTACCACTACCCTTAGAGATACGGTAGGTAGCTGCACGAAAAGAGACAGCACGTCAGGACCGCACGGGTGCGAAAGAGACGGAATTGTTGTCGCATTCCAAAATTTTCCATAATTTAGATAAGGAAGGTTTGCTATGATTAGGGCTGGCAGTTACTAATATTTCTATTTTAATTATTATCAATATTGTTTCTTACAAAAGCTGTCTTATAAAATATTAATTAAATTAACTTCTTATGTTTCATAAAATAATAATTAAAAAAAAACACCAAAATTTATATTCATGTACTTGTTTTAATTCAAGTCATCGAATCTGATTCCAGTTGAAAGTATAATAATTATATCGACGCTTGAAAGGCAAACGTGACTAAGCGACAATGCGCGAACTTTACAGTAGACTAATCTAAAGTTGAAATACCTGAAAACAAAATTTATTTTAACGAATCTAGCTGTAGTAGAATCTAGCTAGTAGCTGTAGGATTGAAATGATTTTAATAGACCTAGAAATATATATTTTTTGCGCATCGAATATGGTTATTGCCTATCATTTATGTACAAAGTATTTATTGTCGCTTAGTCATGTTTGCCTTTCAAGAGTCTATATTATATTTTATGATTAGTTAGCTTCGATTTCCGGGAGTCATATAAAACATTAAAACTTCTACTACATATAAACCTATATACCTATACATCCACTATAACTTCATTATGTGACGTTGAATGACGTAATAATGACGTTTCTAATAGCATGATTATTGTTGTATGTGTGAGCTTCGTATACATTTTTTTTTCTTAAATGGGTAGACGAGCTCACAGCCCACCTGGTGTTAAGTGGTTACTGGAGCCCATAGACATTTACAACGCAAATGCGCCACCCACCTTGAGATACAAGTTCTAAGGTCTCAGTATAGTTACAACTTGAAGTGTCAAAAACAACTGTAACAAGCTCCGTCGCAATCTGATGAATCATTTGAAAAGAGCATACAAGACAAGCATTTATGAAGCTTAGTTTTTTTTTTCGTACCTAAGCTGATAGCCTTGAGAGGCTATTCCAGCGTAACCTTACTAGTTAAGGTGAGCTCACGGGGCTCAAACCTGACGACGTTGCTAACACGAACCGCATTGGAAACGCGACCCAGTGAGAAGATCCGACGAGAAACTCAGGGGGCTGTGTCTGAGGGGGAAGCTTAGCGGTATAGATTGTGTTGACGTATTCAAATTTCCACTGGATCTTACATAATGACAAGACTGTTAATAGCCGATTAAGTAAATGATACATATTTGACCCTGATCCTACCTAGGCTTCACTAAAATCGATCGGTTTGGATTCCAGAACAGAAGTAATTAGTAAGAAATAAGCAAGTTGTCATCACTGTCGGGTGACAGCGATATAAGCATTGTAGTGATTTTTCTTTGTCAGGTGGAAATGGCGGAACTTCCACGTATCGGTCATCGTTCTCGTCGAACCCGTCGCTTGCGAAGACCTCGGCGAGTAAATTAACCCACAGACACAGCCCACTGAGTTTTTCGTCTCATCTTCTCAGTGGGTCGCGTTTCCGATCCGGCGGTAGATTCTGCGAACCACGGCTCTTGCTAGAGTTCGTGTAAGCAACATCGTCAGGTTTGAGACCCGTGAGCTCACCTACTAGCCCGGTAACGCTGACGTGGTCTCTCTAGACCACCGGATTAGGTAGGAAAAAAAAGGAACCTCTAATCACGCGCTGACTGGTACCAATGTGGCATATTGGGACTGAAACCAACTAAAATCTTCCATTATTCCAGATTATGCATACGAACGTTGCCTGAGACAAAACCCTGACGAGGTACCGCAGGAAAGGTTGTTTGTAAATACTATCTGCATCATCAGAATATCAACTACAAAAGGACCGTGGGCTCGCACCTCAATTAAAACAAAAATCAAGAGTTGAACCAACTGACAGTTAAATCAACGATTCTATCTGTTAATCTGACGGATAACTAAAAAAAAACGTGCTCAATCCTCATGTGAAACCTTGACGTATTCTATCTCATCCACTCGCAAACGTTATGTTAATATATCTATCTCTCTTTAGAGTCGTTTTATTGTTTCATCTAGTTGCGGTGCTGAATATTTTTGCAGGTGTTGTGATAATATATATGACCACCTCAAATATCCGAGAGTACCCTACACGGGGCATAAAAGCTTAATTAAAAAAGATCCCTGCGTAGACCCAAAGATTTCAAACGAAGCGAAATAAGGTTCATCGACAATCCATATATTATTCTAGCTAGCTATTTTATATGATTACATTTATTGTTGAGAATAATATTCAAAAAGTATAGTCTAAAACCCTACAAAAGTACCATAAGCTTTAGCGAGCGCGTTGAAATCATTTACACCTAACGTAACCTCGGAACTTGAAGGAAATTGTTAAAAAATACATCTTTTTGCAAGCTGACAAACGCGCAATGTAGTATCAGTATGGCGTCGATTAAAAAAACATATTGACGGTAGTTGATCGTATGCAGGAATATTATTCTGGGCACAAGATCTTTAGTTATCAAGGTCCCTAGTTGCTATATGTGGGCGTTTTCAAAACTACCGTCCTTTTTTTTAATTAAAGGGTTTTCGAAATCATATTTTTTTTTGCAATCCCTATTTAGAGTCATAACGGCGAAGTCTCTTCATATTTGCTATCCCACTCTTGAACCTTTTGTACTGGTGGTAGGACCTCTTGTGAGTCCGCGCGGGTGGGTACCACCACCCTGCCTATTTCTGCCGTGAAGCAGTAATGCGTTTTGGTTTGAAGGGTGGGGCAGCCGTTGTAACTAAACTTGAGACCTTAGAACTTATATCTCAAGGTGGGTAGCGCATTTACGTTGTGGATGTCTATGGGCTCTAGTAACCACTTAGCATCGGGTGGGCTGTGAGCTCGTCCACACATCTAAGCAATAAAAAAAATAAAAAGAAACCTAGAACGTATAACTGCTACGTGACTGAAATTTGCAGAATAGTGATACCTACCAGTGAGGGCTAACAAATATGCCCTATTGGAGATAAGTTCGTCTTATTACTTAGTGATTAAGTTTTTTTACTTGTAATTTTTGTAATCTACTCATTACCGAGTACCAAGGAGTAATTAAAGCGAAAATTTATTTACTAACGATTAAATATACAATATTTAATATTCGTATATTTTTAATAACATTAAACTGTCAACCCTGACATTATTGAGTAGCATAAATTCAACATTAGACCGCGCGAACGAGACAGAGAACACAAACGCATAGACGAAACAGAGAGGGGCGATCGTTGATCGTGATTCCCGAACGAAGCATTCGGCACCACATGCGTTGCTCATGACCTTGCCCGAGCTCTGCGCTTGAGGCAGGTCCTGGACGGCCATCTTGCCTCGCCCCCGCTTATACAACAAGGGGTGCCAAAAATCGATGCATTTCCCTTGCCATAGGCGAAGGGCGCTGAGGATAAATACGTTTTATAGTTATATATATATATATTTATATAGATAATTCGGGGTCCATGAACCCGGGAACGGGGATGCTCGTGTAGGCAACGAGAGGGAGCATCGTTCGGCGATGGCTTTTACGTTTCTTCGTGACAATTGTTTCTCGAATTTCGGAACCACAGCCAATGCGAAAATGGCATACGTTCATCACCACTATGGATCGTCAATCGGTCGAATTAGTCCACCTTTGCAGCGAGACCCGATTTTTAATCATCTCGTCGTACTCGTAAACCTACTGTATCACCCATCACGTGTAATTATAATCAACGCCATTTTTTTTTACACGGGAAATTGCCTTTATGTCAAATTCACCCACTTACATAATGTAAACTTGTCAATTCCGGACCGCTTTGCTGGCAGATCCTTGATTCGGCGGATACCGAACTTCACACGGTCACCCGCGAGGCCAATCTGATGATTCCCTGAAAATGTCATCGAAATCGGTTCAGACGTATATAGGAAACATAATATATACTTTATACAGGGTGTCCCAGAAAGAATGGATAATCCTGAAACACCTCATAGTAGAGCTATTGGGGACACTGTATAAAAAATAAAAATTCTCAGGTAGTACCCAAATTACGTATTTATAAAAAAAGTTGATATTTTCCATACTGCTGTGCATTTCTGGAATATACAACAGCTACAAATAAATGAAATCCATAGGCTTTTTGGGGCTATAATATTTTACATGGACAATACTAAGGAATATGCAGGAAATCGTATGAGTAGCTAGTGTAATTTTTTTATAAAAGTTAATCTGAACTTAAATTTTAATTATTTTTAATTTGGGTACTACCTAAGAAATTATTTTTGGTATTTTTTATTTTGAGTCCCCAATAGCTCTACTATGAGGTGTTTCAGGATTATCCATTCTTTGTGTGACACCCTGTATATATCTAAATGTATAATCTGTTATTGTGCTGTTTCTTCTCGAAATAATAAACATGTATTTCAAACTTAACGCGTCTACTAAATGGTTTGTTGGTAAGTAGTGAGTCCGCAACAGTGGGTGCCATCAGCCACGAAACAAGCAGTCATGGACTCCGGATTTTATGTTTAGGACAAGAGTTATAGAATACTATTGTGACTTCGACCATATATCTCAAAGTACGGGGGTTCATTCGAATTACTTAATCCTGCAGAAGTGCAATATGTTCAAGAAAATCTTTCACGAAACACCTTTTACTGCTTGCTTCCCAAATAAATGAGCATATCGACGCTTGAAAGGCAAACGTGACTTAAGCCTTGTTCGGACTAGGCGAGTATTTTAGTCGAGTACCGAGTAATTTAGTGGCTAAACTACTCGCTACTCGCCCGAAAAAATTTAACAAAATCTATTGACTTGACTAAATTATTTACGAACCTACTCGACTAAATTTTTGGTGCTCAGACACATTTAGCTACTAAATTACTCGGTACTCGACTAAAATACTCGCCTAGTCCCAACAAGGCATAAGCGACAATGCGTGAGCTTTACAGTAGACTAATTTAAAGTTGAAATACCTGAAAACAAAAATTTATTTTAACGAATCTAGCTAGTAGCTGCAGGATTGAAATGATTTTAATAGACCTAGAAATATATATTTTTTGCGCATCGAATATGGTTATTGCCTATCATTTATGTATAAAGCAGTTATTGTCTCTTAGTCACGTTTGCCTTTCAAGCGTCGATATGTTAACTGCAATTACTAAAGCGGGATTGATGCGTGTACCTATAATACAGATTTATTCTTTAAGCCATAACAACTTACTTTGCATTAAAATAGATTAAGCCCAAAAAGTACGAAACCTTGTACGGGAAGGGATTGTGTGGGTAGAGGCCACAAGGTTGGACCTATGACCTGTCAAAAGTAGCGGCAAACCGCTGGATTCAGGCAGCGCTGGACCTGTCATTATGGCCAACCTTGGAAGTGGTCTTTGTCCAGCACTGAGGGCTGGTCATGACCAAACCTTGACATGTGCTTTTAAATTGTCATGACTTTACCATCATATATAATTTCACCACATAACTAAACAAACTAGTGGTCCCGCAGTAGTCGAAATTCGACTAAAATTAATTGGAATTGTAAGTTTGTACACTATTATGATTGTAATTTATACTTCTATAATCACGAATTTCGCCAAGGCTACACTATAAAAAAATATAAATAAAGACAAACAATATTTAATCTATTCTCAATTTGACCGCATACGTCAAGAACAAAAGTTTGACAATAAATAAATAGTATCCATGCGTGTGTGCGTCAAATACATGGTAGTGTGTGTAATGTTTTCTTTATTGATTTAATGTATCTTTTATGTATTATTTAAAAAAAATATTAGCATTGTGCACTTCTTCTCTGTATTCTCTATATGTGTGGAAAATTTCATACTCCTCCGTCCGCGCAATTTTCGTAAAAAGGGATACAAAGTTTTTGCTTCACGTATTAATATATAGATTCCATACGTAGGCAACTAATATTGCTATCATAATGTTTGTGGTTTTATTTGGGCGTGCTAAAGCTCATCGTTTACCCGATTATTGGCCTTATTCAGTTAATCGACTTAGAAAAAACAAATATGTTTGTACAGCACTTAATCTACGAGCGATAATTAACTAGCGTGGGCCGTAGTGTGCGCCCATCTTCGCTTGAAATGGCAATCTATTAACTTACCGAACTAAATAGTACAAAGTCAAGAGTCCGCAAATGTAGGCAGCACGGGTAGGTACCACCGCCCTGCTTATTTCTGCCGTGAAGCAGTCATGCGTTTCGGTTTGGAGGGCAGGGCGGCCGTTTTAACTATACTGAGATCTGAGAACTTATATCTCATAAGGTGGGTAGCGCATTTACGTTGTAGATGTCTATGGGCTCCAGTAGCCACTTGGCACCGGGTGGGCTTTGAGCTCGTCCACCACCACACACATATAAGCAATAAAAAAAAGGCGCTTGGCCGCGTGCCTGGCATTGTCGGCGACCTTGAGCGACGGTAACAACACACCACCAAGTGACCGGTATGCTCTTCTGTCTATCAAACCAATAAACAAAAACATTCCCCTCCTGGCTGAGAATCTACTGGCCCACCTGTCCTGGTGAAACTGGATAGGCCTCCGGGCCTTCAATAATACCTCACCTAATTCATAAAAAAAAAAAAAAATCATAACGATTAAAACTAACGTCCAAAATTATTGTTTCCCTTTTAAGTAGGTACTAGGTATAGTATTATCGAAAATATTATGCGCAGTACATTTTAATTTGTTGCAAGATAAAATTTAGTCACCGATGCGTCTCACACATTGAGAGTGGAAAATTTTGTTACTTCTTCGATTTGAACGAACGATGTTTATAAATGTGACACATATTTTTTTCCCTACCTATTCACTGGTGGCCTAAGGGGCTATACCAGCTTCGCGCGACCAGGTAGTTGAGCTCACGGACCCTAGCCCTAGTAAGATCAGTGCTTCGTTGAATCTACCACCGGATCGGAAACGCGTGGCCTACAGGATAAGACGTCCGGTGCATTCGTATCGTACCGGTGCAACGGTGTTCGAATCCCGCAGGCGGGTACCAATTTTTCAAATGAATTACGTACTTAACAAATGTTCACGATTGACTTCCACGGTGAAGGAATAGCATCGTGTAATAAAAATGAAACCCGCAAAATTACAATTTGCGTAATTACTGGTGGTAGGACCTCTTGTGAGTCCGCACTGGTAGGTACCACCACTCCGCCTATTTCTGCCGTGAAGCAGTGATGCGTTTCGGTTTGAAGGGTGCGGCAGCCGTTGTAACTATACTGAGACCTTAGAATTTATATCTCAAGGTGAGTGGCGCATTTACGTTGTAGATGTAGATGTCTATGGGCTCCAGTAACCACTTAACACCAGGTGGGCTGTGAGCTCGTACACCCATCTATGCAATTAAAGAAAAAGGGAACTCATCGGGCTAATATCACACCATAGAAGCGTGTTTCGTTTGCGCCATAATAGTTTTTTTTTTTTTTTTATTGCTCTTGTATGCAGACGAGCATACGGCCCACCCGATGGTGAGTGGTTACCGTCGCCCATGGTCTTCAGCAATGCCAGGGGCAGAGCCAAGCCGCTGCCTACCGAAATTTAATTATTTACCACATTCATAATCCCATCATCATCACCATAGTCGGTTACTCTGGGCAGAGCATGTGGATGTGGAATCCTTGTTTATTAAAGCCTTCACAGCCTTTCTCCATAGTTCGCGAACTGAAGCTTGACGGACACACTCGTTAAGTGGGGTTTTGGTAAGGATTTTCATGTGATCAGTCCAGCGCGTGGGGTATAATAATCATAATTCCATGATTAATATGAAGTCGTCGTGGCCTAAAGGATAAGTCGTCCGGTGCATTCGTTGTTGCGATGCACCGGTGTTCGAATCCCGCAGGCGGGTACCAATTTTTCTAATGAAATACGTACTTAACAAATGTTCACGATTGACTTCCACGGTGAAGGAATAACATCGTGTAATAAAAGTAAAAAACCCGCAAAATTATAATTTGCGTAATCACTGGTGGTAGGACCTCTTGTGAGTCCGCACGGGTAGGTACCACCGCCCTGCCTATTTCTGCCGTGAAGCAGTAATGCGTTTCGGTTTGAAGGATGGGGTAGCCGCTGTAACTATACTGAGACCTTAGAACTATATCTCAAGATGGGTGGCGCATTTACGTTGTAGATGTCTATGGGCTCCAGTAACCACTTAACACCAGGTGGGCTGTGAGCTCGTCCACCCATCTAAGCAATAAAAAAAAAAAAGATTAATACCAAATTTTGATATCTATATGTTAATACGTAAAGCAAAAACCATGTACCCCTTTTTATGAAAATTGCGCGGACGGAGGAGTATGATATTTCCAACACTTATAGAGAATATAGAGACGGAGAGCAGAATGCTAATTTTTTTTAACTTGACATTAAAAATACATTAAATCAATTAAAAAAACCATTATATACACTATCATGTATTTGACACACACACACACACACACAAACAGACACACACACAAGCATAATATATACTCTTTTGTTTATTGTGAAGCTTTTGCTATAGTTTAAAGTCTGTGGTGAAATTGAGAATAGATTAATAGGTATTATTTGTCTATAGTGTAGTCTTGGCGAAATCTGTAACTATAAAAGTGAAGTCTTTGACAATAGAACCATAATAATGTTGAAACTTGTAAATAAAATGAATAGTTGAGGCCGTCAGCGCAAAAGTGGCCTAAGTTTACCATAGTTATTATGGAGCAATGAGGTTTATGTTTTCTGACATGAGAACCCTCTCATCGTGGCCGCTGGAAACTACATACCCAGTAGACCGACTGATAAACCGTCGACGTCGACCAAAGCACGTCATTACGGATCCTCCTAATCCATTAACGGTGCTTTTAGGCACCACAAGCACCGGTCACCGTC